GAAATAAGCAGAGTTGCAAGTTATTCTTACCAAATTGAACACACACACACATACACGCAGAAAGTGCATCCCTATTAGTTAAGATTTAATTTTTATAATGAAAAGAAATTATAAGTGAAGTTATTGGGAAGGATATTTTTCAAAGAAAGAAATGAAGTGAGATTAAATCATTCCATAAATCAAATTTTAGGGTAATGAGATGGAAGTTAATAACAATCAGTATGATTGTTATTAGATTGTTGCACTAAAATAAATAAAAAGAATTTATAAATTTTAATTATAAAAAAAGGTACCAATTAAATACTTAGCTTTTTTTCCTTTTAGAAAACATAATGAAAACATCATTTATAAGATATTATAATTTGTAATAAACATTGATAATATCCATAGCTCATACATTAATTATTGACGTCTTTTTCCGAATTCACACCTTTTCCTGAAATTAGCTGGAAAGTACTGAATAACTGATATATTATTATTATTGTTTATTATCATCATTATAATTATAATTATTAATTATTATTATACATCGTAGAATATGCATTAATTTGACAAAAGTACTAATTTTTATCTCGCAAGAGTTAGAGAAGGTAAAATAAAGTATTAGTAATTGATCTATTTTCCTATCTCAATCTAACTTGAATTCTAGAATAGAATAAATTGACCCAATTCAACCTAACTTGAATCAAACTTAATTCTTAGATTCTAACTGCTTCTCTATTGCTTGAATTAATTTGCTTAATATAATACGCATAGTATTTCTATAATATGACATTGCATTTAATTCAAAGAGAGATTGTATGAAACTTAACACTTGCTATGATCACAGACATAAAACTTCGTAATTTTTAAAAATGACAAATGGGAATGATTTTTACAAGAAATTATGAAATAAGTAATCGTATGCTTATGAAATAAATAAGCGTATAAGGATGTTAATTTGGAGATTACATGGTAAGACTGTTCTAAGTTAACTTCTAGGCACGAAAACTTGAAATTCCTCGATAGAGCTGTATTACATGCAAAAAGGCAAGAGAGACAGACTAGTTCGAATCCTGACCTTGAAATGTAAAAAAAGCATCAAAGGATTTTTTCATTCTCTTTCAATCAATTGCCTTACCATATTCTTAATATTTCTTCATCACTTCTTCTCTTAACTTAGTATGATTTATAACGAAGAGTAAAGGTGAAAAGTTATATTTCTCTTATTTGAAATTTAAATTAGCTACTTCATATGTTCCTCCTCTTCCTACTTCTTCTAGAACTAATTAAAGATAATTTTCATGTCACATATCAGAGGAGAATAAAGATACGAAAACATAAGGATCGCTAAAGGACTTTAATTTCTTCTTCTGATAACACAGAATGAAGGATTAGGAAGAGAAGCATAAAATTAATAAAATCACAGCATAAATTAATCAAGAGATAAAATTGATAAAAATTTTTAAACTTAATAATTAATTATATAAGAAGTAATTCATTTAGAATATTGAAAATTAAAGAAATGATAAAGGCAACTGTCGCTATCATAATGGACATATATATTATCGATTGTAACGATCACAATGAGATAAAAGAAGGCAAAAATAGAAATAATTAATGAAATCATTAATAAAAGTAATAGTTTTCTTAAAAAAGAAAATTTAGAATAAAAATAAATTAAATAAGAAATAAATTACTGTCAACAAAAAAGGAATGATAAATTTAAAAGATTTATTAAAATGTTGAAAGATAATTAACATAACTATGATGAAAGAGAGATGAAAAGATTGCTAAAGTCAACAAAGAGAGAGAGAGAGAGAGAAATGATTAATGCAAACAATTTCATCAATTTGATCTAATCAATTCAATATTTTAACATTCGTTCAAAAAGTTATTAGAGATGTAATTACTTCAAGTAGTGATCACATATATAAGCATTTGGATTTTGGAATAAAGATTTTAATTCGTATGAAGTAATATATTGTTGAAGGGAGAAGTGAGATTTTTAACAGCTAATAGTGTGAAGTATATTACTTCCGCCCGTGGAAATTCATCGTATTTTAAAGAGAATGCGCTATCATTGATGTAAGTGGGATGGAGAATGAATAGAGAAGGTACAGTGAAAGAATTTGAACGATGATGCATTCTATCATGACATCGAATAGGAAAGAAGGCCTAAGAAACCGGTTCCAAAAATTTTACTCCAATTCAAAAAAAAATCATGTTAATTTAAAGGTTAGCAAATAAAGCAGCTTTTGAAAGGTGCTAAAGGCTGATTCAATGGAGGTGCAAAAAAGAATTCATTCATTATTAAAACGCTTTACTGCTTTATCATGATACATACATTCTTATCATAATTATGATCATACCTTTGAAAAGAATATAATCAAAATTTGAATTCCAATGTTTTATTTTTTAAAAGTATCCTAATTTCTTCCAAATATCTTGGAAAAGTATTAGTATTTTATTATAATTGAATTTAACAATGTTAAATAGTGAAAATGATCATCTGACCTTAAAGGTTAAATGGTTAAAAGTTAAAGTGTAGTCGGAACTTTTGAGATTACTCGAAATTTCTAGAAGCATTAATCAATAAGTTGTTGCTAAACATAATTGATCTTATGATTGACATCAAAAGCTTGACTTATTGAAAATTTACCTTTAATTATTGTTTCAGAGTTGTTTGTTTTCTACTGTGGGAAAAATTCATCAACGTGTTTTGATACAAAATATTTGTAATTGAAAGAAAAGATTAAAAAATAAGATGGAATTTACTATTCTTTAACTGACTTTTACTACTTAATAATAGATCAAAAATCAAATTATAAACAGAAACAGATGAAACTGTCATTTGTATTTTTTCGTCTTTTCTTAAGATGAGAAGAATTAAATTAGGTAAATAAGTATTAGGACATTTTTTAATTTAATTATAGCGATGGAAATCCGACTGTCAAAATGTGATCAATCAATATGCAAGAAAAAATTTAAGTTGTGTTTCTGAATTTGCATAATTCCAACAGGTTACAGTAAGCTAGTTATAGTTTTTCAAAATATTTCATTCATATCATCTTGTATTGCTTGGTCATATTAATGGTAGAGTCTACGTGATTTTCATTTCACTTAAAAATCGATCTCTTTGTTGAATTAAAATATCACATGGAAATAAAATGAGCAAATCACGTGGAAATAAAATGCTTATCAAAATGATCAAGTTTTAAAACATGATAGCATGAGGACATTTTAAATTTTGCTATTCAACGTAATGTGTTTTTTAAATTTCAAAAATTTTCGTAATTTTAGGCAATTGCCACCGCAACTTTATATCGTACGCTTGGCAAATTGGCATGCGATATTTCGCACGTTTCATCAGCTGATGTTGAAATTACAGTCAATATACAATTTAAAAAAAGCACAATGTATGGCTTATTTTTAAAAATGCTATCATAATACGTTTGGAAGGGAGAATAGACAATAGTGTCAAAACAATAGGACAGATTACATTTTCCAGAAGCAGACAGTCTCAGACTGAAATTTGAAAGGGAAGGAGAATAATAATAGTTGGCTGAGGATTTGAGGTATGAGTAGATTCTATCTATATTGACGTTTCGATAATTTCAACCAAAGGATTTTTTATTTACAAACATCCTCAAACATCATTTTTAGGAGTTCAACAAGCGCAAGTGGTATGTTTTAAATTCTGTGCATGATTTCAATTTCTTCCCTGTATTTTAAAATATAAATAATCCCTCCAATACAGCACATTAAATTTAAAATTGGTCCCTTGGTAATATGAATCTATTCCCGTAATTTCGTTGCAAATCCAAATTTGGCACTTTTTGTTTTTAGATTACCCAACAACATCTGAATCGGAAATTTTTGGGTTAGTAATTTATTACTTCTTTTATTTCATCATATAAACCTAAACAACTATGACATTATTACTTCTTTTTTTAAGATCTTCACTTTTTGAGAGTGTCTTTTTTCAATCTTCCAGATCAGCTAACAAGGTGTTGTCGCTTGGAGGACTCCCAAATCCAAAACCCGTAAGTTGGCTCAAATTTTTTCTGTGAAGTTCTTTTGTGCTCATATAATCAAGTTTTTGACAACGAATATTATTCAAAAGATGATTTCGTAGGAAAAAAAAAGAATTGAGAGAGATCGAAGTTGGAAAGCGTTGCATTCTAAAAGACCATCTTAACCATCTTTTAATTGTTAAATCAAACTATATCTGGCACTTAACAATGGAGCATTACCCGTTTCAAGTATTTTCTCTCTCTGCCAGAATACGCCTTGTAGCATGATGAAGTTCACTTATGTATTTCTTTTAGCCATCAGCCAGGATGGAAATGAGCTGAAGACTGCAGATTTCCGAAAGCACGAGTAACACACAAAGTATTCAATAAAACTATTTCAAATGGAAATATTTCCAAATGATCATTAAAAATGGATGTAACAAATACAAGTAAAGATTCCATTTGAAAGTCAAATTTGATGCCATCATCTTCCCGCAGCCGCTGGTTCCCTTCCAAATCTAATTTTGAGGAATCACACATATGATGAGCAGTTCCGAGAAAATCAAAAATTCCTATTGCAGTCAACTTATCTCAACAACTATTATGATTATTTCCCTTGCAGTAGAAAATCCCTTAATAAACCCTTATTTTACAAGTACGTCAACAACCAGTAATAATGTTATTGTTGAGAACTCTGCTACAAAGAAAAAAAAGTACTTCCAAGCCACTTCTTTTGCAAAAATCACAATGCGATTTCGCTAAATTTATCCGCAGCACTACTTTAGCTAGTTACATGCTAAATTTCAAATAAACTGAGTTTTGGTATTTTTGTAAACCACATCTGTTCATACAGCAAATATACGAACAAGTGAACCATTGTATTTTGAATTCATCGGAAGCACAAGTGTGCACATGCTTTGATATATACTATGTTCTTGTCGCGACTCGATAAAAACATTTATTTTCTTTACCTTAGAAGAAAAACGTTAAATGAAAAAAGTAAAATTAGAACAACATCTGATGAGGAAATTGATTTTTACCCAACGCGAATCTGGAGCCCAAATAACCAAAAAGATATTTTTTTTCTGGATGTTTCCGAATCACTTCTAGCACCACGCTATCTACAGTTTTCTGATCTGCTTTCCTCTGATCCGACACAGTGTACTCCTAGAAAGAGAGACATTAACAATTAAAAGTAATTATACTTAGCTACTGAACACTCTACTGAAGTAATCCATCAGTATTGTCGGCTATCCCTGATAAACATATTACGTGACGCAGAACATCAAATCTTTATCATTTACAATGCATGCCAAGAAGTGTAGTCCAGAAAACAAAGACATTTTCTCCACAAAAACAAATATCGCAATAAACAAAGAAATTATCAGTAAAAAAAGGAAGTTGTGAAAAAACACGATTTTTGACTTACGGTTGTTCCTTGCGCAAATATATTGGCATCGCCTTTCTTTGGTGCTTTTTTAGAATTGAACCTCCGAAAATAGGCATCATCAATGTGCTGTGGGACTTTCAATCCTGATATGTCAATTTTTGTCTTCGTTGCAATTACGAAAGCCTGCGCTATGCGTCGTAGTGGAGTGGAATTCAGTTTCATTGGTCCTGGAATAAATTAAGAAATAAATTGCGCTATGCATCGTAGTGGAGTGGAATTCAGTTTCATTGGCTCTGGAATAAATTTAGAAATCTGTTGCGAGAATTATTTTCTCATAATACGTGCTCAGTTCATCCAAAACCTCTATCTACTAAAACTTCAAGATTTTAACAAATTTTCAAGTGTTGAAGCTTTTTTGAGGTCCTGCTTATGATAAACAGCATAACCTCACCCAATAAAGATTCGTTTTATATAGCTTTCATTAACGACTGAACAGTCCATTTCTGTGAAAAATCAGTGCTTTTTGAAAGCATTTAAAGCCGAATTCATCCATTATAAAGCTGAAAATTACCTGTCACAAGCAGAAGGCCCGATTTTTCCAGTTGTTTCAAAAATATGACACGCTTGCCCTTGTGTCGTCCAGCAAGTATTATTAGAACGGTACCGGGAGTGATCGATGGTCGCAATGCTACTTTCTTTACGGACCGCTTTACTCGCCGGGTGGTTATAACTTCTTTCAGATATTTCGGCTAAAACTGGTTTGATAGAGTAAAAGATTGTCCAAACCAATGATTTTCATTTTCCAGACAAGAAATCAAACAAGATCTTGTGATCAGAAATGCAAAAAAATGAACATAACCATTACTAAGAAATGCTCAGAGACATGAGTGAGAGAAAACCATTTGAATATCACAGACTCTATGGTCACTGGTCAACTAAATACATCCGAAACAAGTAAAAGAGGATAATTACGAGTAGTAACTTAAAAAGCCCTAAAAGGGAAAGCATCACATACCCCCTTCTTGACAAGAACTTTTCGCTCTTTGCCATTCTTATCGCCTCCAATCGGTTTCACAATAACCTTTGCTTTGCGTTCTACTTTTTTTCTTACAGCAGGATATGGTTTCTTGGCGTACGCACCGCGTTTTGCGTACATTCGCGCAGCAGAAAATCGCATAACTCCCGGTGCTACTTCATAATTATGTCTCATACGTGGCGCACGCTTTTTCGCCGGCATTTTCTTGCACTATAAAAAATAAAAATTGTTACTTACTGTAGTAAAAGTAAGGCACTGCACAAGATATCCTGGAAAAACATGAACATGTGACAAGTCACTCTAACTTAACACGTTGTGCTCGATGTAGTTGCACTTTTGCTTCTTGCCTTAAAAAGTTTTGCAGCAAATCTCAATTGTACAATTAAGTGAAGATGTACACAATATTATGCACCATGCACGCATATAAGTAGAAGGGACAACTATGCAAGCTTACATCCTCAATAGAAGTCAACTTCAACCCACTCCAAATAGAAGCGACGCACCCTGCCTCACGCATAAAACATAGGGAGACCGGAGCTATCGTAAGCCAGAGGAAGTTGAAGAACTCTTGTTGCAATATAGCAGCACAATTTTGACAAGTTTACATGTTTGTCGAGAATAGGTTGAAAGCAGATTCATCTTTTATTTAATGAAAAATTGTTTGCATTTTTCAAATACTTGAAGTAACAATTTTAGGAAATGCAGCATCACGTACGTCCATTCACATCAAGATGTCAACTAAATACAGTAATATTGCGATGTTTTCACGATCGTTGCGCCGTCCCACGAGTTGTCGATGATCCAGAGGAAAAAATGCATCCAATAACAGATGTCGGATATAGATATAGGTACCATCGACCAGGTATTGATCCTTTGCCGCGTCTACCGAACTGCAAGGTACCAGTACATAAGCCTGATTATAAAGTACGTGATTGCTGGTCTACGGCACAAGCAAGGTATTAGTGGACTTCCTACTTATTACGTTTTATTCACCCTTAATTATTTACTCACTATCGAGAAAAGTTGTGTCGTTGGAATGAGAAAAGATTTTAAACTAATTTCTTGTTAAAGTTAGAAGTTATGCAATGGATACTAAATTTAATGCTTATTTTTTGCAATAAAGTAACACTACACGAAGAGAATATCCAAGCGAAGATTCATATCAGCATTTATGCAAACGCAAACTGTTGCAGGTTTGGTGAGAATGACTATATCGACTTGTTAGGTGATGGTAGTATCCACCCAGCTCAGCTACAGTATCACGTTCCAGCTTGGCTTCGTGGCTTTCCAGGTCAACATCGGGCCAACGAATTGGTGAAACTAATTCATTTTCGGAATTTGCATAAGGAAAAGATGCAAATCAATTCACCTCGACGGTGGTATGATCTACAGAAAAGAATCAAATATTTGCTTCAGAAGCATAATTACTACAAACAGGATGAGTTGAGAGATGAACGAGATTTGGGATTATGGGAGGAGAAACCGGACTATTTCTACAAGGACAAATCCAGAAGGAGCTATCAGGACCTCGTTTAATGCCTTTCCTTTAGTGCAATTTTGTAATTAGTCCTTTATGTACGAACTGCATCTGACACCACATCAAGTATAGTACTCTCCAATTTAGGAAATAAAGTAGTGTGGTATGATTATCAGCCGTAAATCTTTACTTACTCTTTGAAACTTATGACCCAAATTCCAAACTTCACTTGGTGAAGTTTAGGATAAGTTTTCTTATTTTTAATTTTAATTAGCGTCTTAGTTCAAATTGATATCTGTATCATTTGCAGTGTTGTGACTGAGCATGGAGTCTGTAAATAATTATTGCTTCATAAATATAGGAAGATATAAATTTCCTTCATTCACTCTAATCTTTTCGAAAAATTGATTTTGTAGTAACTGATATGAGTACCACTCTTCTTGATCGCTATTGTGAAATAAGACTAATTACTTAATGTTCCATCGGGATACGACGAATTGTTTTTTTCCTTCCACTGTCTAATTAACATGATAAGGCAACGAAGAACGTTGAAGCTTTTCTTTTTTTGAATATTTCGAAATATCTGGAACCTTTATATTTAATTGCGATTATTTCGTTTACTTTTATTGCTTTGATATTTTATGTATTTTGCTGTTTGTGTGCGTCGCGCAAAATTTTTCGATTTAAAAAATATGAAAAAATAAAAATTAAAAAAACTTCAGGAAGCATGGTGGTTCGAGCAAGTGATGTAGACAAAAATTTCTTCACTCCACGAGACTATCAGGTATTGATACCTAAAAATTTTGAATAAGATTTAATAAACATTTCTGTCATAGTCAGTTGAAGCCATGGTTCGCCTGCTGTTATTCACTTGGCAATGTAAATTTAATCGACAATATTTGTTATGAAATACTATTCCATTTAGCTTATTGTATATTCAGTATGATCATTAATAAATATTGCTGGTTTTCCTTAAGTAATCTCATTTTCCAATCTTCCAGTCAATATGACTGTCAACTTGGAGTTAAGTATTGCTAATAAACCTATTGTTTATAGCCACTTTATACATGCAATTCACGAGTTGTTATGATTCAATACCAATTATGGTCATTTATTTTGATTAGTGTTATTAGGAACTCGAGTTAAATTATTCATTGCGAATTCCCTAATTAAATTTCAAGGTTGAATTGCTGGATAAAGCATGCAGAAGAAATATTATTGTACCTCTCGGGACAGGGTCAGGCAAAACTTTTATTGCCGTTTTACTAATCAAAGAGTACACAACCAAACTTGTTATACCATGGAAAAGTGGCGGCAAACGGGCTTTCTTCCTGGTTGATAAAGGTGGGTGTTTTTATCTTGATACTTTTTTAATAAGACACGCTTCTGGGAAACTTTACAAATGTATCGAAGTTTTTATTTCGAAATCTGAAACAGTATTTAATGGGTTATATAGTTGTTGCATTTAGCATTTAGTTGACTGGCTCCATTAGTTAAATGAGTTATCCATTAATCGTAGCTCATTAAGAGGACTTTACCAAATGTGATAAACTAAAAGTGCCGAGAGGAAGATTTATTGTATAATTTCCTATCGGAATGCATTTTATGTAATTTTCAGTTTCGCTAGTTGAACAGCAAGCAGCACATATCGAACATCATACAACACTAACTGTGGGCAAAATGCATGGACATTTGAATCAGGATATTTGGTCAGAACCTTCCAAATTCGACGCATTCATTGCGTTACATGAAGTAGGTTCTTAGAGTTTTATTCGCGATGTTTAAATGCTACTGCTATAAAAATTAAAAATTTGAAAGCTGTGGAAAATTCCTACTCTTAAATTTAAAAAGCAAATGTTAATTGTAAAATATCGTTTTTATTATTTTGAAAGATGCTTTAGTACCTTTATCTCTTTTCCAGGTTGTAGTACTAACTGCCCAGATCTTCTTGGACTTACTTGATCATAGTTTCTTCAATATGTCAAATGCTGCTGTTATCATCTTTGATGAATGCCATCATGTATTAGGTAGCAAACACCCATATAGATTAATCATGCAGCGGTATGGACAACTTCCTGAAGGTGCTTATTAATCATTTTAAGGACTGCTGTTCAATTTGTCAATAATAAAAGTTTGGATGGGAAATCTTTTGGAGTGAAGAAATTAATACTATTTTCTTCTTTTAAATAAAAGTGAGAAGTTCTGATAATATCTTTACTTTTCATTTTTAAAAAAAAAGTCAAGAATAATTATTAGTTATACTTTTGATTACTAAGTCAAATTCGATTCACTTCAAAAGTTCTTGAAGATTAAGGTAGATTTATTTTTTCGAAGTTCCAGCCCTTCTCAAACAATTCAGTTAAAGTGAAAGGGAGGATTATTAGTGAAAAATTGATGAACATAAATGCTCTTTTTTTCAATTCACAAATACGTATCAACAATATCACCAAGATATAATCAAGGATATATTTACTTGGATATGCTAAATTGCAGTAGATCGACCTCGAATTCTCGGCCTTACAGCATCTCTGATCAATAGCAAAATACCACTGAATAGTTTAGAACAACTTTTGGAAAAATTGGAAAGAATCATGCATAGTTCTATTGAAACAGCAAGTGATCTAGTCTCCGTAAGTTTTCATCACATTATTTTCAATTTTTTTATAAAGTAAATTACTTTTTTGCAGACACTGAAATGCACTCTAATTTGAGCGGAAATATGAATGTTTAGATAGCTTTTATTTATACAGTAATGTAGGTACTGATATTCTAAGAATGATGAATAGTGAAGCATCTTTTTTCACACAATTTAACACAAAGGATGTTGTGTGAAATAAGATGCCTCCTAATACTACCAATTTGTTTTGACTCTTGTGGCTGATAATTTTCGCAAATTTTTAAGCCCTTTTGCATCTTTCTTACACTTCCTTCAAAAAATTTTCTTGCCAAAATATAAATTACAGCACAACAAAATCTGAAATAGCTCGAAACTCCTCGAATTATAGCTTTTTGTTTGGACCATCATTGGTGATTACTTTATAAAACTTTTTAGAAGTGTCAGATTGCATAATAAATGTGCATTCAGATCTCTAAATATGGGGCCAAACCGAAAGAATATGTCATAATGTGTCACGATTTTTTTTGTTGTACATGCGAAATTAGCAAGAAAGTCATCAGTACTTTAGTAAGTTTTTCAGTTTATTTTCACTCCTACTGTTAAACCATTTCATAGCTCCATTTCATTTCGATTCGATGATAATTTTTCGTGAAATTTTATATTGTAGCAACCAAAAATGGCCTTTTTATACTGTAATAATTAAAATAGGGGCGACTTGGTTATAATAGACCTCTATGTGATCAAATCATTGACTTTTAGAGGATAAAAAGCCAGGAAAGTATCGAATTGTAAAGTAGAAATTTTTCTTTAGAAAAATAGAACTAAAAATCAATAATTTTTCGAGTTTGAAATTTTTTAGGAAGGTTTACGTACATTTTGTTTGAAATGTACCGAATTCCATCCGGAATTCGACGTTGATCCAAGAAAACCTGTTCTTGAAGCAGTTAGTCGAACGAAGTCTGTTTTGGAACAGTTGGGACCGTGGTGTGCATGGAAAGTTTGCCAGGTAAATTAATTCAGTTCAAGGCAAAAGAATTATGCATACTGTAGGCTGAAAATAATGGTGAAGATGTTTAATCCTTTCATTTTACTGTTACTTCACTAAAAGATTCGGTTAGGATTTTAACTGAGGCAAATAATTTAAGTGACATCGATGAATTTAAGTTCCTTTTCACTTCTCCATATAAAGCAACGTTTCAATCACAACTATCAAAAGATAAGCGACTGTTATTTTACAGCTATTTCAACGACAACTGAAGAAACATTCAGGACAAGGTTTCTTGCCTGAAAAGCAAGTCGTCTTCCTACAAATGGCATACACAACAATGCGCTTCACTAAACGTTTATTGGATGATAAAGTGGCTAACATGCGATGTTTTAATGACATGAAACCAATACTGCCAGATCGCCTAGCAAGATTGTTTGAAATCTTAAAGTTCTTCAGCCCTTCTAATATGGAAAAAGTGGATCCAGATTTGACATTTTGTGGCATCATCTTCGTGGAGCAGCGTTACGTCGCATACGTGTTAAATGTAAAGTTTTCTGTTTTATGTGTTATTTTTTGCTGTGCATTATGGTTATTTTTCTTATTACATTATTGTTTTTTGTTTCAACTTCAGTTTGCTGTTATCGGCTTACTTTTTAGACCTTAATAAGAGCAATATCACGGTGGGACAGTGATAAATTTGGATATCTGGTTTCGGACTTCGTCATCGGATACAACAGTGCCAGCATTGGTGCAGAAGAAACGATGGCATTGCATAAAAGACAGGAATTGGTAGGTCATTGTTTTTATTTATTTTACAGTTTCCGTAGAAATTAGGAATTGATAAACTGATTTATGTTTAGACTATAAGTAAGTATGAGTTGTTATTGCGTTCATAATTCTATATCTATTAATATTTATGCAGATGGAAGCTTCCTCAGATCTGCAAAATTTGAGGTAATGAACTAAACACATGTTTAAGTTCTTTCTTCCGATAATTTACTTACATTGTTATTTAGGCAGTTGATATTCCTATTTCAGCAGTTGGCTTACACAACGATATGCTTGAATAAAATGTCAAACTTCATTTTTTGGTAAACTTTATTTAAAATTTTTTGTAAAGAACAAACTCTAGGTTTTACGCAAATTTCGCCAACGTCATTTGAATCTGTTAGTTGCAACAAGTGTTCTGGAAGAGGGCGTAGATGTGAGACAGTGTAATGTGGTTATTCGTTTCGATCGGCCTACCGATTACCGTGCTTATGTGCAGGTACTATCATTTCATTGTTTTTATTTATCACAAAAGCCGACTTCATAATAGAGGCAGTTCGATGTAAATATTTATTTTAATCTATTAAGGTGATTCAGAGTAATATCATTATTTATTTGTTCCAATTATTTTCTAGATTGAATAGGAGTTCCCAGTTTTTGCACCTTAGACACAGCTTTCCAAGCGACAGAGGTTTCAGGATTTTAACTTTTGTTATGCTCTAGAATCTTACAAATTTAATTTTGGGAAAAGTTAGAGGGGCTTTCGTCGAAATTGTATCCTTTTCTTTTTTAAATTTATTCGATAAAATCATAGACTTTTAATTGGTTCTAAAACTTGTAAAATTAACAACGAACAAATCTTAAATTTTTTGTTCATTTGAATTTATGTCTCTTCTAGTCAAAAGGAAGAGCGCGAAAAGATGGTGCAAGTTATTTCCTACTGGTCGAAGAAAGAGATCGTGAACAATGCTCCTGTGATTTGAAGGATTTTTTGCAAATTGAAAGAGTATGTATTATTTTATTATAATAGTTTCATTTCTCAAGGCAAAGAGCTCAAACATATTTATTCTCTAATTCTTATTTAATTATTTATATTTTCTCGAACACCTGAAAATGTTCTTTAATTCTTGTTTGTAATTAATGACTAAATTCTGCAAAAAAAGTTGCTAATTTCTTCAAGATGTTACTGAAGCGGTATCGGAACGTGCATAATCCGCCAGAACCAATGATTATTTCACCGAGCATAGAAACAGTGGATGATATCATTGCACCATACATTGTTGAAAGTACTGGAGCGCAAGTTACCTTAAGCACTGCTATAAGCCTTGTAAACAGGTTTAATATTTTTAAATTTCTCGACCTGGCCACACTGTGGCCAAAGTGCCTTTTGGAAAAAAATTGTATTTCGAACGAAGATCTTAAGTTTGATATTATTTTCATGAAATTAAAGTATTCATTTGTTTAAAACTTTGTTTTTCTTTTAATCCTCATTTAAAATATTTCATTTATAGGTATTGTGCCAAACTTCCCAGCGATATATTCACCCGCTTGGTTCCGCAAAATACGATAGTGCCAGAAACTGTAAATAAGTTATTTGAAATTCAATAATAATTAGGCTTTTTGTCTAATCATAATGAAATTATTTTTATGTGTAAGCGAATAGAGTGAAAAAAGAATACATCGTAGCACTGAATTTATCATTCATAAAAATATGCAAAAATTTTTTGATGAGCAGAGATTCTGATATATTTTCTTCTTAGTGAAATGCTTGTACGACTATTTATCGTTATCATGAAGTCGTTGGCGATAAAATTTAGGTAGGTGATCGGGTGATGTACCGAGCGGAATTGTTGTTACCAATCAATTCACCGATCAAGGAGACCATTAAATTAAAGAAACCATTGGAGAGCAAGAAGCTTGCACAAATGGCCGTCGCTTTGGAAGTAAGTTGGAATCAATATTAAGCCATTTTCATCTTTTTTCACTTCTATTTTTATATATTTCACTTTGCAGTCATTTTATGGGTAAATATCTTTGTTGAGCTAATTTTTTGTCATTTTGGTATAACAAAGAAATGAACCTAAATATCCAGTTTAAATTTCTATTGCTATTGATTCAAACTTGCATGTGAAAAACCGCCGTATTATTCGTGACGAAGTTGATACCAAGGCCTCGTTGCATTCAGTATGCATGCTAACTCGTACATGCCATTCGGGATATACTAATTATCCTGTAGTATCTCTTTTGCCTTTAGCCTTTACACATGTATCAAAGTAACGTTCATTGTTAAACACATGATTGGGGCAACTTTATTGTACGCAATAATTTTTATTTTTTTTTCTTTTTGAGGAAATTTTAGGCATGTAGAAGGTTGCATAAACGAAAAGAGCTGAATGATTACTTACTTCCTGTTGGTAAAGATACCATCATGCTAACAGCTCTTGATGAAGATCCGGATGAATTCATCCCAAATATGAATTATAAAGTTGGATCAGCTCGAAGAAGACAATTATACGACAAGAGAGTGAGTGTTTTACCGTTTCTTACTGTCTTGACATCTTGCCTAATTGAGGTACTAAATTCCTCTGCACCATTGCATTTCAAATTCTGCAGGGTAGTATTACGTCATGACACTAGATATGCATATCAGTTATTAATTTATCACAGATGCTCATTCTTGTACTGAATTCATGATCACTCGAAAAAAGATATCGTGAAAATTCATCTTTTATTCCGCTTAACCATGGGTTATCTGCATTTGCTTCAATTCTTTGTCTGAAATCTCATTTCGTCTTAATTTTTTTTAGATGGCAAAAGCACTGCATAATGCAATTCCACATGTTGGTGAAGAATGCTACATCTATGTTTTGGAAATGAACCTCACCAAAGCGGTAGCTGGTGCTGCGAATCCAAAAAATCGTCGAATAATAAACCCGTTGGATACCGAATTCTGCTTTGGATTCCTTTCCAATAAAAAAATACCGAAAGTAGGACCAGATCTTGAGTGTCTGAGCGGGTTTATAATTATCTAATCTTTATTTTTTATGTCGCGACTTTTTATTCACCATTTTTTCTATCTGTTTTAGCTGTCCTCTGATCTAAATTTGTGGTATTGAAAGTAATTGGTATAAGGACTTTTCAGTTTCTAGTATAAGGAAATTATGAGACATTAGGACCATTTAACTTTCATCGATTGGGAGATATTAAATCTTTTTTTGGGATGAGTTCAAAGCAGCAAAAAAGCAGTTAGAGTGAATGCTTTGAAATGTATTGTAACATTTTCATTTTCCTCTTTTCTATTTCAGGATTTGTTGACTCCATATTTCACTTTTTTAAGGTGCCATCGTTTTCGTTATTTCTACGTCAAGGTCGTATGCAAGCGAATATTTTCCTTGTCAAATCCCGTCTCCTTGTTGATGCTCAAATGTTGGAGCTCCTAAAGGCATTCCATCATTATCTGTTCGACAATGTTCTTCGACTGGTGAAAGGAGGCCTAGTTTTTACCCCCGATAAGGCCCCAGTCAATGTTTTGATAGTTCCACTTCGACGTGGTATATATTTTTTCATCGTCACTAGATCTACATTCATCGTAGGCAGTCGAAAGACTTTAGATTTCCTTACGTTTTATAAATACTCTTTTTACTCATCACTAGTAACAAAGCAATAAGGAAGCAATATCAAAAAGAATTAAGCAAACCCATCAATAAATGAAAAAAGGGAATAGAAAGATTTCTTGTTAAAAATTATGGGGACAAGAAACTTGCTCTAATTTATGGAATGCTATATTTTACACCAATGTTTAAAAAGTTAATAAATGGAAAAATGAGACGAATTGCTTCACATTCTTGAATCTCAGAGCGAAATGGTGAGACCGGTGAGGTGGATTTCAAACTGGATTACGCATATGTACGAAATGTTGTTTCATCGATTGATGAATTGCCACGAATTCCAACGGAAGTTGAAAGATTGGCTTTCAAGTTCGATGCAGCTAAGTTTCGGGATGCTGTTGTCATGCCATGGTATCGGGACCGAGATCATCCATCGTTTTACTATGTTGCTGAGGTAAAAATTAAAGTTCGAGGTTCTGACAATTCTTTAATATTTAAGAGTGTAACAAATTTTTTTTATGAATTAGATTCAGGGCGAGATATTGGGTTGTTCTTAGACAAAATAGAAAAAGACTTCGTCTGAGAAGTTATTAATCTCTTGAATTTCGCGAGTTTTCAGATAATCGATGCTAAACCATCGTCCAAATTTCCGGACGAGAAGTTTGCAACATTTAACGATTATTTCATTCAGAAATATGACATTATTATATATGACCAAGAGCAGCCGCTTCTAGATGTTGATTATACTTCGAGGTATCTTTAGTTCTTAACAGTGAGGAATATAGAATTCCAGTTTCTTGGTTCTCAGAAAATGGAAAGGCGGTTTAGAAAAAATACTGGAAGAAATCCCAAATAAAAAATGTATTAAAAATCTGTATTAAAAATCTGAGCTATTAAAAATCTGCTTTAAAAACAAATTAAGAGGTTTAGCTAAATCATATTTTTTTCTGTATTTATTTTTAAGTATTAAGCTTCTGATGCTATCAAAATCTTACTTCAGTAGGTAAAATTACTTTTATAGTCGATTGAACCTTTTAATGCCTCGACATTGGTCACGTTCAAGAAGTCGAATTACCGAAGAAAGAGGCTTAGAAACTGGCGGAATGTCGCAGGGACAAATTTTGGTACCTGAACTTGTTGATGTACATCCGATTTCTGCTTCTTTATGGAGTGTTATTGCGGCCCTTCCAACACTACTTTATCGGTATGCGTGTGTGCTCTTTTTACCGTAGAAGTTCGCAAGTTTCGATGAGCGATATAAAGAAGTTCTGTAAATTGTACGAAAGTACGTTTGGTTTTTTGTTCTGAATTTTGTTTTATCAAGTGTGCTAAGTTTAATAATGATTTCAGGATCAACAGTTTGTTATTGGCAGATGAGTTACGTGAGTTGGTGATGCGTGAAGCGTTTTCTAACCCTAACTATAGCACTTCTGACGATGTTGTTTGGATGCCATTGGATTACCCAACGCCCATGGATGATCTGGAGGTGAGACCAGTGCAAAGGATTTGTGATCTGAAAAAGAAACAGTACGTTTTTCTTTCTTTTTGTGCATCCTAATATGACTATGAGAAGCAACATTAGTAAATACGACAGATAATGCCACATCTTTCATTTTTCCATTCATGTTCATTGTTGAAGCACATTGCAAAGTATAATCATTCGTATTTAACAGCATTTTATCAACCAAGCTATGAATTTTCTTTAGATTTATTTCATTTTTCCAGTGTGGAACAGAAAAATCAGGAAAATGATGATATGGAGGCGAAGGATTCTAACACGGAAATGGTAAAATTTGTTTATTTTACTTTTTCGTAAATTTATTGGCTTATATCCCGTCAGCTATGCTAATCACTGTTACTGGTTCGTAAGGTCATATATGGTTCGTAGAAGAGAACGTCATTTTATTTTTCAGTGCGTTATGGAGTACACTTTTGGGGCTGTAATGACTAATAACATAAAGTAGTTTGAAGAAGTGGGATCAAAATGATGCAAATATTTACGTATATGCACTCCTTATTTAATTCATATATTTTTATTTAATCCACATTTATCCACAAGAAATAAAAATGTGTTTTATACAATGGGGGTTTTATTTATCGTTCATTTTCAAAATTTTGAAGAAGTTTGTAGAAATTAGAACTTCATATATCTTTAGTGCCGCTTCTGATCACATTTAAATTTCGTTTGGAACTGCATCTTTGCCGTTGTCATTTATGTTTATGATGAGTATCGAAATCTTTCGTATACCGCTCACTTTTGAAAGAATTTAGAATTTTAAACTAAGCTCTTTTTCAGACTGATTTTGAAATCGGCGTCTGGGATCCTGAGCTTGCAAAAGGGTTAGAAGATTTCTGTTTGAATAAAGGAAGACGAGATGAAATTAGAGGATTCGAGGATGTTGACGTAAGTTAACCAAGAACTTTACTTTATTAAGAGCATGAGATCCTTTTCTTACTTTGATTATTACACATTGATATAAAGTTTAATTCTAAGATGATTCATTTTCCTTATTTGAATATCTGAAATTTATATTCTTCTGCATACTAGTAGCACACTGTTCCTTTAATTGACAACAACTGAGAGTGTTTTGCTCAAATTTAGTAGCACTCTTCCAAATTAAGTCAATCTTTGCTTCACGATTTTTTAAAATAATTCATTTAAAGCATGTTAAATTCTCTTTTGCAAATTTCTTGCGCATTGCAACAAAAATTAGTAAATTTCGATTCAAGTTCAAGTGGGTCCTTATAAAGCGTTTGCAAAATATTTATCTATTATTAGAGCAAAGTAATCGACAACAGAAGTATGAGTTCCCTTTCAGGGGGATGCATTAGGTCTTGTGATGAATGGTTCTGCCTTACGACAGCATGGTGACATGTCGGATGACGATGATGAAGATGCCGTTGTGTTGTTCGATTTCATAAACAGTGTCCGTGAACGCTTTGGAAGTATATTTTGTTTTTAATGTAACTGAGAAATATTCGAACCGAAATAATTTCCCTGAATTTTTGCATTATTTGAGTCTAACGATAGCACTTAGATTAATGTGGAGTAGGTAGAAAATATTCTTGGCGTGCAGTTAATTAAGTTTGGGACTATTAAATATGTAGATCAGTTCAAACAAATTCTCGCATTTCTTCGTGTGAAACGACCTACCTACCTCAATAGTTTTTCTGCTTAAAAACTATTGTAGAAGAAAGTGGCGATATATTTGCACCACGAGAGAACATCACATCATCTGAGTGAGATGAATTGTTCGTTATAGTTCATTTTAAATTGCTTTCTAAAATATTGTAGAAGAAAGTGGCGATATATTTGCGCCACGAGAGAACATCACATCATCTGGATGGGATGATTTGATTGTAATAGAAGAATCGGCACCAAATGGAATTAATATGCCTTTGGTATACTTTTTTCATTTACTGGAAAAGATTCTTTCAAGTAATAGGTTTTGCGCAAAACATACATTTGCTGCAGAAAAAATATTATTAATATTATTAAAGAAGAACGAAGTGACGCTAAATGATTTTGGAATTGAAGCGAAAAAAAATGAGCTTGGTAGAAATTGAGAATAGATACTGATCTGTATCATTATACTGTACTTCAGTGGGTTGAAATACAGATCAGATACAGATTAGTATGCTGTACTTCAGTGGGTTGATATTCTTAATAAAAAGTGTGAGATTTTTTTTTTTAATTGAAACTTTTTCAAGAAAATTAACTGATAATTATTAGGATGTTACAAAGGCTATAGATGATTCGTGATTTTAAAACGCTTAGTTTATAACGTCCCTCTAAAACTTGGGCAGTCTTTACATGTTAAGGTCTTAAATATCAACAGCTTTACAAGATGTATTTTGAAAGCTGAAATAGAAGGTACGCTAATTTTCTTTCACTTTCAGTCTGTGAATAGTGGAGATTCCCAGATCGACAGTCGTGGCTTAATGGCCGATTTATCACGGATGAGTTGGCTTTTGGACATGCCCACTGCGTTACCTGTAACACCTGTAGACACAACAAATCAAACCGATGTGAAAAAAGAAACTGTGAAAAATGGAAGCAAGCAACATCCTGTGGTTATTAGAAAGGTCCAAAAATTATTGAAACAAACTCTAGAGTTTTTTTGTGTAGAAATCCAAAATCAGTGTGTATGTGCTTGTTCTTGACTGTGCAGAAAGTTTTTTTTACTAGGGAAAGTTTTCAGCCGACACTATTTGTGTATGTGCTTTTCTTCTCTATTAGGGAAGTATTGAAATGAAAATAGAAGTCAAGGGTTTTGAATTAGAAATGCTTCGTTAGCTCTATTCACCTAGGTCTCTTTTATTTCATTTGTACCTCTGTATTTAAGTTTATGAATTACTTTTAACTTTTAGCCTACACAGTTATACCTCGATTCGTTAGAAAGATTGGAAGATTCGGACCGGAGATCATCAAAGTCAAATCGTCAAGAAGAATGTATTGACTTAATCGATTTTTGTGATGAAGTGGACGAAATTTTATCTAACGGTGATTTGTGTCGCTTGTCAAATATATTACACAATAATTCTATTCATTTTAAAATGTGCTTGACTATTGTGTTTTCAGAGCATAATGACTCAGCACCATTTGATCTGAGCTATTTTAAAGGATGTTTATTGGATACTGATGTTGAACTAGATTCTGTTGAAGTGCTGTCACCCAAGAAAATATCACTACATCAAGACGAAAAACTGATGGTAAATCATGAGATTTTAGTGATTGAAAAATGAGTCTTATCTGACTTTTCCCTTATGTGATAAATATAGGATAGTCGAGATTATGGTCGAGATCGAGATATGGTATTTGTAGACTAGCAAAAAGCAAGGCTATAGAAATTTGTATATAAGAGTATAGAAATTTTTTGTTGTTCAAGGAAATTTAAATTATCCATCTGCTCTAGGATCATAAAAGAGTTCAATCTGTACTGTCAAAGTTTTGATACGATTTGGCCGATGGCTGATTTTATTTTTAATTTTTTATGTTCTATTTTTTAATATTTTCCAGGATGAAGACATGATAAGATCATCAAGTGATTTAGAATTATCTTTGCAAATATCATGCGAGGATGATGCTGCAAAGTTAGCTTGTTCAACGGTAGATATGAATGCAGTTAACAAAAAGGTTTTTTTAAGCATATTTTAAAAAATCAGTTAGCTTCAAACAGTCGAGGAAAAAAGGTTAAAAACAGTCTTTTCAGCAAGAAATAATTGCTCCAACCCTCGATTGGATGACATTTTCGTTCGAAGAAGATACCTTCAGTGATCATCCTGATGGTGTTTCACCATGCACTCTACTGCAGGTATCTAGTCAAGATTAATTACTATTCACAATCAAATGTTTAATATCTAGCATCAGAATATTTGTTAGGAAAATTTCCATTATATTTGTACCCGAGACAAGTTATTACTTTGTGGGGATAAAATATACAAATGCACATATTGTTTTTAATGAAATCTCATGCGGTAGTTGTTTGAAACACTTCTTGAAATGGTGGCTGGCAGATCTTAGAAGACTACTGAAGTTTTTTTGATTGTCGAGTGAGAGAATTAAAGGCGGAGTAATTCTGGTAACCCGGATGAAATAAGTATAACATATGTTGAAGTATGGTTGTCAAATTTCTATATTTTTTCATCTTTTATGGAATCATTGAAAAAATTATTTAACCATCTGACAGCTAATTTAATTGTTTTAATTACTGCAGGGTGATTTCTCTCTACTTTTTTCTTTGACAAATGATATTCTTTTAGGCGCTGACACTGTCCAATGCATCCGATGGTATCAACTTGGAACGTCTGGAAACTGTTGGTGATTCGTTCTTGAAATATGCCGTAACTGATTACTTGTTTCACACCAATCCTGAGCAACATGAGGGAAAACTTAGCTTTGCGAGGAGTAAAGAGGTTACTCACCAATTTCACTGATTTTTATAAATTATCGATTTAATATCTTAGGGCACTGGAGAAATTCTCATCTGGTAATTCGATCTTTATACATACTTTATTTAGAATAAGGAAAGTCTGCATTTTTGTTCATTTTGTTTTGCAAAAAAGGAAGTCAATTTATCTGTAATCCGAAACATTTAAAAATTAAGCAGATTCATTGCTGTATGAAAGTTGCTTTTATCAACCTATAGTGGTTTTACTTTTTTTACAGGTATCAAATTGCAATTTATACCGTTTGGGAAAGAAGCATAATCTACCCTCTTTGATCATTGGTTCAAAATTTGATCCAAATGATGGGTGGTTACCTCCCTGGTGAGTTCTTATATTTGTATTTTTCCTTTTTCTTTGGTTTTTTTTTCTTAATTAAAAATGATCCAAAACTGTATGCTTCTCTTCACAATTCAAATTTAAATCTTTTAACTGTTCCGGTTTTGTGGGTTCGACTTTTTTCTTTCATTATTCTCTTTAGCCAAGTAATGGAAATCCATTTTTATATTTGTAATAAGAAATAAAAAAAATTTTGATCGACTTTTTTTCATCTATGATTTTTTGTTTCTCCAATCACCTCTTTCTTCTGTTTCTTTAACCGTGCTTTATTAGAATTTTTTTATTTCTCATTACAAAATCAAAGTTTTGTTTTTTTCTTATAAAAAATTCCTTGAGATTCAGTTACGCGCCAACATCAGACTTCAAAGCACCGAATACATTAGATGCGGAAGAACGTGACAAGTTCATCGAAAACGTTCTTGAAGGAAAAGCAGTTGAAGAGCAGGAACCGGTGCGGTTTTATTATCACCTATCTGTCTTCCCGTCATGTAGTACCAAGACAGGAAGTGATTTCCCTTTTTAAGGAATTAATTTCCCTTTTTTTTAATTGTCGCAGTATACTTTCTTTTTACACTTCGCATTTTTTAATTGTCACAGTTTCTTTACTCCAAAACTGCTTTTCTAAACTTTTTCATTAAAAAAAAGATAGAAAATATGATATGTATAAATGGTAGTGTAAGTTCTATAATGATTTGGATTGCAGGTAAAAGTACCTACAGGATGGGATGAGTCTGATAGGGATAGTCAAGTTCGACGGATTGCTGATGGTATCGAAACTATTGAATTTCCAAAGGTGAGCAATCGAAATAGCGATTCAACAACTAACACATTTTTTTTTTGCTCTCGAAACTATTTGTGCATTAATTGTTGCACGTATTCATGAATTATAGATACACTGAGTAGAATTTTTAAAAGTGTTCGGGCATCTATGTGGTTGCCTCTTCCATAGTAGATAATAAATTTTTTGATTTTTTATTTTAACATTTTGTTGAACAGGTTTCTTCATTTTATATATTTGATATATCTTCATCTACATATCTGATAAGTTATATTTAGAATATGGCAACAAGTTGGGATGGTGAAGAGATTACGCCGCTGCCATATAATCTGTTGACGCAACAAAGTCTGGGTGACAAATCAATTGCTGATGCAGTGGAGTCTTTGATTGGTGCCCACCTTTTGGAGCTAGGTCCTAAAGCAACATTAAAATTCATGAAATGGTTAGGATTAAAGGTACTTACTGAACCAGTACAAATGGAACCACCGCTACTGCGGTTCATTGACACAATCGAGCAGGTAATCTGCATATTACCTTTTGGCTATGATGAAAGAGTTTATTTTGTTTAATTGTATTTTTACATTCTTAACTATTTGACTGAATAAATGTTCTGTACAGGTTCTTTTTTACTAAGGATTTTGCACTTTATTCCTTCTATAATTCAACTAATGTTAAAGTTCCACTGAGCGATTTATTGTTCTTTACGATTAATATTAGATTTTCAGAGACTTTTCCTCCGCGAGCACATTTTTTCACTTTTTCGTTCTTTATCAGTAGTTATATTTTTGAAAAACTTATTGTTGAAGAATATGTTTTTGAAAGAATATATGCCCGAAAAACCAAGTAAACATTGGATTACTAAAAGGAATGGCTGCCAGTTTAATCATTAATTCTTTTTATAAGATCTCATTTACTTTGTTAATCGGATAAATTTCAGCCAGACCGGTCGCTGAGAAAATTGGATGATATGTGGATACAATTTCAATTTTCCAAACTAGAAGATTGTATCGGTTATCGTTTCAGTGATCGGGCATACCTGTTGCAGGCATTTACGCACGCTTCTTATTACAAAAACAGAATAACAGGCTGCTATCAGGTAATGTCGATTAACTTGCAAAATTTTATTTGACTCTCATCGTCATTGTTCGAGTCGCTAAGATCGCTTTCATAATAAACTTGAAATGAGATCATATCTCTCAATCTTCCAATCATTTAATTTTTATTTAAAAATTAAGCGCTCTATCAAAGATTTGTCTGCAGCGTTTAGAATTTCTTGGTGATGCCGTCCTGGACTATGTTATCACACGATTTCTGTATCAACATTCATCACATTACAGTCCAGGTGTTCTTACGGACCTTCGTTCCGCACTTGTTAACAATACTATTTTTGCATCATTAGCTGTCAAATACAACTTCCATAAGGTATTTCTTCTTCATCATTTATTTTTAGATTTATTAAAAATTCCGTACGTAAAATTTATGATGTAGCTTCCAAGATAGCTCCTAAAAATATGTGAAAAATTTTCACCGGAAGATATTGCTCATTAAACGGTGACATGAAGTTCTAGATATTTTCACTGTTGTTATTTAAGCATTTTATCGCGATGTGCCCCAGATTGCACCATATGATCGAGAAATTTGTTTGTCTCTGTGCAGAAAAAAATCTTTCCAGTGCAAATTTCAATGATGAGGTATTTTTTCTCTTTGCAACTAAACTAGTTTTACTTTTTTCCTACTCTAACAATCGGCTATTCTAATTTGAACGCAACAAATTAGCACATGTGACCAAATACGTCAAAAAGTCGTATTCTACATGCAAGACGGATACATTGGATTGAAAAGTTGAAAATTCAATTGCATTTTTTTAATTTACAGATGTACATGGTGACGACTGAAGAAGAAATTGATGAGGGTGAAGAAGAAGATATCGAAGTCCCAAAAGCAATGGGTGATATTTTCGAGTCAGTGGCTGGAGCTATCTATTTGGTAATTCAAAAAGCTTAAGTTTTTATTTAGAACTGCTTAATTTCATAAAGTTGCAATCTTGAATCTAGAAAAGTTCTTGTTCTCCCGAAAAAGTCATAAAATTTTCTTTTTGTTTGGCACAATTTTCATAATTTTGCAAATTTCAGGATAGTGGACGAAGCTTAGACGTTGTGTGGAGGATCTTTTATAACCTAATGAAAGAAACCATAGACGAATGCTGTAGTAATCCGCCACGTTCACCGATTCGTGAACTGCTTGAAATGGAGCCTGAAAGGGCTCGCTTTTCGTGTGTTTTTTTTCTTTCGTTCCGGCAGTTTTTAAATTCTAATCGTTTTACAGTTTGAAGTATGAGTATTTCTGATTTCCAAGTTTGTTGTTCCGAAATAACATATTTCAAAAAATAAGATCTAGACACTTTACTCTAGAAATAAATTTGGGGCAGAGGCTAGAAAATCTTGACTGTTCAGATTTTTCCTTAGATAAATTTCGATTATTTAGATTATTTCTAGCTTAGATTCTTTGAAAATGGTAAAATTCTAAAAATTTTGAGACGATGCTCTGCTTTTCATAAGGAATCGGAGAGTTGAATTTGAACCGACTGAGCTCATTCTGTTGAGGAAGTTAGTTACAGCTACTGGTACCCGATGTACCGCACAAAAAATATGAAGAAATGGCACGAAGAATACAAAAATAGAAATGTTGTGCGTTAAATGCCAGTTATTTATTCGTTGATAGATGTTTTATTGTAGAAAATTGGAGAGAATACTGGAAACGGGGAAAGTGCGTGTAACAGTTGATATCCAAGGCAAGTGTCGCTTCAGTGGAATGGGTAGGAGCTATCGGATAGCCAAATGTACAGCAGCCAAACGAGCTCTGCGCTATTTGCGAAGTTTAAAGAAAGAAAAAGAACGAGCGGCTCAGAAGCAATAATTTTATTTTCTGAAGTTGAAAACTATAGAATTAATATATTTATAATATAATGGAATATTCAACAAAAATAGAAAGATGAGGCGTGGTGACAATCTTGGTAGTAGGTAACACTGAAATACGCGTTTTATATTTTAGGAAATTAGGCTGAAAGTAATATGTCTAAAATATATATTTACGGGATGAAATTTGCAAAGTAGGTCAATAGCAATGTGGGTTAAAAGATAAGTACCACGGAAGATGGCTACAGTTGTATAGTTGTGAAACCTCGTAAAAGAGGGAAGTATCTAATTTGCAGTGTCAAACTTCGGCAGTTTTTGAAAATTGTGAAGATCATTTTATTTTTCTGCATTCTTTCTTTTATAACTTCTTTGGACTTTATTAGATTCACAGTTCGTAGATTTTAATAATTGGGATTAATTTCACTCCCCTTAATCAAAACACACCAATTTTATGTTTCTTATATTCTTTATTTTGATGCTTTTGATCTCAGGTCTTAAAAGCAGTGCTCAAATTTATCTGAGCTGATAAAGTTCAGCGACAGTCATTGGCGTGAATTTTGTAAATAATTTTTATGATTACGATCAGTCTTATAAAATTCATTCCACGACGTTAATTCTGATCTTTCCAGTTGAACAAGAGTCATGTCCAAATTTACCAAAAGTCATTTTGTAGCAAGTCTCAAACTTTCTTTAAGTTTTTAAACTTTTATTTCCATTTGTTCGAATATTCGTGGTCTCCTGCATTAAATTCTATTACTGAGATTGGGTAAATGTTTTTGTTATTATCTATCGCTAATTTGAACAAAATTTTTTGGAGCATTTACTCCTTTGCATTTCCATAGCAATTAAATTGCAAATTCAACCCTCATGGGCGAGATTTCACGAACTACAATAATCTCACAAAAATTATAGTCATTGGTTCCAAAAATATGCTACTGAAATTTTTTCGTTGTCATTTCAATGAATCATTACTTCTCAAACAATTCAAGCCACTTTTGATTTTTTTATTCATTTGATAAATACGTCAATGAATTTAGTGAAGCAGTATACAATCTGGAAAAAATTTTTACGTGCTGAATCTGTAAGCTTGTTAATATGTGGACCACTTGTAAATTTCTACACATGTTTTTGTTCATCAAAATGGATTGTTGAGCATAAATACATTAGGAGTTTTTGCTTCTTTCGTTCTTGTGAATTTGAAATACGGAAAACTTATGAATTTGGAGGAAAAAAGAGACATAGCATAAGAAAAAGTCTTCGGTTGAAACTATAACAAAAGAATAGAATATGGAAATATAATCTTCAAAAATTTGAAGTCATCAGTCTGAAAATTAATGGGCGGCAAATAAAAAGTCATCGCATTTTTACGATGAGTATTCTCTTCGACGATTCACAACAGTATACTTCGGAATAGTTTATAGAGATGTTCAATCTCAGCTATAAGCGCAAAATCGCAATATAAACTATTCCCTGAAGCTTGAAAAATGAAAATTTCCCAGGAATTCTTTACTACATGAAATTTAGCAAACAGAACAAAAAAAGGACAGCAAAAATTCCTTCTACAGCATGCCGAGCACATAATGTATATCATGGTTTCAAGATCATAAAGATATAAAAATGAATGTGAAGAATGTTAAAGTTTTATAATATATAATACATAATGCTTATCTATGTCAAATGTTGTACTCATAGAAAAATAGAAGCATTTGTGAACGCGAAACTTTAGTAATATATATAAATATATACATATTTACTTATATTTTTATATCAAATAGACGTTTTCACTTCTTTTCGTTCAGCTTTACGCTGTCTTCGAGTTGCATCAATCTGCTGCAAATTTAGCAATCATTAGAATAAAATTTTTCAGGATAACTTTTTCCGAAATCTTAACAGAAGTTCCATTTCTGTCGCAGAATCTTGGTGCTCAAGAAATGAAATCCAGTAAAGCTAAAATATCTTTCTAAAATCTTATCTTACCATAACTAAGCATTAAAAAAGGAGTCACAAACGCATCTAGCATCCCGAGCAAGAATGGTAGTCGCCTAATAATATCAAGATTAATTCTAAGCAATTCTAAAAGTCGGGAATAGTCACTCACATATTATGCTAAGATTACGCGGTATTACTCACAGCTTAATTAAAGGATCTATAATCTAAAGATTTGAAGGACTGGTACGACTCTCTGAACAAGCCGCTGCTTGGCTATATTGGGAACACAGCTGACTAATCTCAGGAAATACGAGATTATTATGTGCTACCTGGCTTTTGGCTTATCTGAAGAAAAATACCTCGATAAAACTTTTTGGAAAGGAAGTCTTCTCTTGAGTTACACATGCGACGCAAAAGGTTTTTGTGTAGAAAACACTACAATCCTAGAAGAAAAGCATCATTAACCAAAAAAGAAAATGAATCATTGGTCTTGAGCAATTTCCATCTGCAAATAAAACACTGTAATCCTGAAAGAAATTGTTTCGAAAGTCTTCATCCCGAACTCTAAATAGCAGCGAAACTTTCCATTCCTCATCTGCCCTTCATTTCTAAATATTTAAAAAGAAGTCATAATCGAAAATCTTAAATGCGTGAAAATCTATTTGCAATCAGGGGTTCATAGTTTATTCTTTAACACTAAATTGTATCAATTTTTGGATTTTCGAATTCAATTCAGTTCTTTCTCAGTTTGAATTTCTAATACTCAAACTTTTTCTTTGCTGCCATTTAGAACATCTCCTTTCATATATAATCTTCTATTATAGCGCAAAATCCAATTTTTTGAAATATTTTTTACCTCACCAATGCAGACAGGCTGTCCACATTTGCTGCAAATTGCTCCCAAAACGAGTACATCGAAAATGCTCGTAGTCTTATTTCCAGAAGCCTTACTGCCAGTGTTATCCCTTGTCCGAGTTAGCCGCCTTTCATTCACATTACTTCGATTTCGGAATGGATCCAACATATAGTATATTTCATCTTTATACCGGTAAGAATGTCTACAAGAGAATGTTTTTATACTGAAACTTATAATTTGGAACATTCTTACCGTTTTTTATATGTTACAGAAATTGTCCTACGTTTATATTTATTCAAACAAATTATGAATCAAACCAATACCGATATTTTATCATCTAAGCATATTTGCTTTCACATGGTAACTCGCTGGCTTCATATGTGGTACATTCACCATACGACAAATTAGCCTATTTCTAGAGTCAATTAAAGAAACGCAAATCAATCGGGAAAAATTCGCTTCTATCAGAGGATAGTGAAAAATATAAGGAATTAATTAAACGATATAATTTATTTCAGCCGATCGTAAGACAACCATATGTTCAATAAAATCTGTCTAATAAAAAAAATGGAATATGTTTAATAAAAACAGCATGCATCTCGTGAGATAAGTGGATAGAGTTTTCAGCAATGTGCTGAAAAATGAATGCAGCTAATAGACAATAAAGGAGATACAAGAAAAGCCAATAACTAACGTTCGAGATGAAATTTCCACCAAACCATAACGGCAATTCTCAGTGAGACCACACAAAAAACACGTAAATTTGACCAAATTCCCATCTCCATCGCCTTTCTGGTCATGATGGCCAGAGCTGAAAACAGTAGTAGTAGACTGCCAGCAATGATATCAACGAATAAAGTGAGGGGCATCACTATGGCATGGAATCATCTTCAAAAGCAACCTCGTTTACACATATAAATACACACCCTTTCAGTCATTTTTATTACTTGTGAGACAGCGAAATTCAGTTCATCCAGATTAAACGTCAAAAAAAACTTACCTAACAACGCATGACGATTCCCCTCCAACACAATCCATACTAATAATAAAATCCTTATGAGACAGATACACAAGGGGCCGCGTTTAATTTATCGAAAGAGGTTGGAATTTCCCTGCAGGATGTGGTAAGGTGCATTGAGGTGTGAGTTCATCAAGGCTTGTGTGCTGTGGAACGGAAGGAGCACGGTCTCTTTATTTGCAATATGCTGATCGGAAAGCTTCATACCAGAGTTATTGGCTGATCAGAATAGTTTGGAAGCCGTAATATAGCTTTTAACATACGTGAAAAAATTGCATATCACAGTGTAGAGGAGTGGGATTGTCAGGTAATATGCAAACTTCCTCTACGATTCTCGAACTTTTTAGAAGATGGAGCAATACAGTAATCTGCACTGGTGAGAAGTCACGATGGGTGATTCCTTCCAAGTATCTTTCAAGAATTTCGTCTAATCAACAAATTTTGGCATGTTTGCTGTACAAATAAATAATGATTTAGGTTAGCTGCCGGATTCCTGATGGTTTTTTTCGAATTCTGAAAAACAAATTTGATTAAGATTAAATTTAGGCCCTTTTAAGCCTCTGAAATTCACTTACACAGAAATTGAATATATGTCTTCAATTTTCAAACAGATCATTCGGTTTAAGTTTTGCTAGTACCGCAGCAAGTAGGACAGCTTTAAAGTGATTAATCTTTGTTTATGCTTTATTTTGTTTAATCTTCAAAACAGTTTGTAATACTGAAAGATGGCGTCGACATTAGTAGAGATTGATCTCGTATAAGGGAGTGCTCCGTTAAAATATGTTACCTTGCTGGGACTTTAGAATGAGTTTTGTTGAACATTTCAGGTGAACCACAGCCATCAGCTCAACGAATTTTTCGAAAATCCGCTTTAGTGTATACACTGAACGAAACGTTGCATGATGATGCTGCTTTGGCATACTTTATTCAGTTTATGGAAGGAATTGGTAATGATTTCATTACATCTGTAGTGTGTTGAAGTGTTTTGCTTCGAAATGTTATTTGATGAATGATTTTCCAGTTTACTGTTTTCGTTTTCCGGAGCTCCTAAATAAGTGTTGGTTTAACGATACGTGGATGAGGGCCGATCAGAACATTTTCTTTGAGAAACGCTATGAAAAGATAACTTCTTATGTCACCCTTCCAATTTGAATAACCGTACTTTCCTGCACTTATTTATGTTACTCATAACTTTTAGGTCAGCTCAACTTAATTAAATTTTGGCTGCATGCTGAAAGTTTTCGATGTTCGGCACTTGCAGCGACGAATAATGACGGGGCCTTGATCACAAGTAGTTTTTTTATCAAAATTTTAATCTTCACATGCTAAGCAGTTTGTATTTATTTCCACTGAAAAAAATTCTTTTTCGATTCGAAATAGCTTCCCAATTGATTAATTTAAATACTGGCATTACAACAAAAAATCGCTTTGTTTCAGTGATCAAAAATGATGCGGTTCATATTTATTCGAAATATATAAGTGAAGATGCATCCTGTTCAATCAACATCACTGACCAACTGCGGAAAATAGTACTGGGTAAATTAATTAATTTTGAAATAGTTACTGGTTGTAGTGGCTTCGACCACTATATAATGAAGGATGATATGATTTAAGACAATACGACTCATTTTCTATTTCAATATCAAACAGTGAAATGTTTTTTATGTAATGATGATTACGGATAAGCAAAAAATCTGAAACGATTGACCGTCATAAAATGCCCTTTTTGCCTTTTTGCCAGCTATAATTTTTATGCAATAGCTATATCTTTATTATAATTATATTCGTAATGTTGTCGATTATTGAGATTAGTAGTAATGATTAATTTCACAAAAAGTTTTAAAAATTACCAATCTGAAATTTTTGTCTTGCAGAGCGGATAAATATTAAAAATGGATCATTCGATCCCTGTTGCTTTTCTGATGCACAAACATTTGTTTTGAAAGTTATGGAAAATCGGTTTGTATTGATTTTTATTTAAATTTAGAAAATTTTCAGTTTTTGATCTGTCCTTCGTTGTAAATTTTTCCTCATGCAATTCATTCATTTTTTATTATTTAAAACTTTTCTTAAAGGCAATCAGCGCCTCATGGATCTTTTTACCTTTGTTCCTTCAAGAGAAAAAGCTCTTTCTGAAGTTTATAAGAAGACGCTTTGCGCAACAAATAATCTTCATTCTAGTAAATACTCTGTAATGTGTGAAGATGTACTGTGTTGGAATATCGGAACTTTCTACAATTTATGGTGCTCCCTACTGTTATTCATTAAAATGTTTTATCGATTCAATTTTCTTTTGCAGGTACTTTAAAGAATTTGAAAATAGTGTATATTATGCTAAGCATCATATAGACGTTATTAGCAGTGGAACACTTACGATACATGATATTATGTTATGCCAGCCACTTCTATGCGCATTTGTGGAGGTAAGTTTATTTTATTCATTAGATTTCAGTTTCATTTCAGTTTTTTCTACTTCACATTTTATAACAATTTTAAAGAGATCAAGCGTATCAACTTTTTCAAAGCTGACTGAATTTGACAGTTTAAAGCTTAGTTATACTGTACTCCCTACAGGTAATTGGAAAGAGTATTGTGTATCTAAAAATTATTTGGTGCAAATTTGAATAAGCAGAAAAGTTTTAGACATTAAAATCGGAGACATTGCATTCATGTGGCAGTTTACTTCGTTTTTTAAATTCATTAATATCATCTTTGTATTCATCCCAGATTTGTATCTGTCGTGTATTGCTGTGGTCAAAATTTTGAGAAATAGGATAGGATAGGGTGAAATATTGAAATTGGACAATTTTTGTTTGGTTTTTTTAATATTCTGAGACTTTAATAGACTTTTTGAAAACTTACGTAAGCTTTCTTTCAGTATATGGAAAATGAAGACGAGAGAAAATTAGTAGAATTTATTATTTCTGCTGAGAGTTTTGCTGAACAATTACCGCTAACACAAAGCGACGAGCAGGCAGTTGAAGATGCTATGATTATCTATAACAGGTCTATTATCTCAAATATTTGTATATTTTTGATTATGAATGACTTCAAGTTCAAAAAATGCCGTAATCATCACATATTGAAATGTTGAAAAATTTGTCTAATTTTTCAACTTTTTTCCTTTTTGATGCGTTGATAGTTACTACTCACTTAATATATTATGTTTCAGATTTTATATTCTACAATACTGCATAAAAAATGCATAAAAAGCAGAGAAATTTTAAAAAGAAAAAATGCTGAGTTATATACATATTGCCCATTTTTTGATATATCCAAGACATATTTAAGATAGCTATTGACAGTTTTAAACCCATTCTTTAGTGAACATGATTGCGTAAACGGTTTGGTAATTCTTCGTTTTAGTTTTGATTTGAGGTGTGTGCAAATGGCATAGTAATGTGAGGGCTTTTTCTTAGAAACTTGTTCAGAATTTTAAGAACTAGATTAGCTGTCAGAGCAACATCTGTACTTCATAGGAATTTTTTTGTATGTCCAAATTAATTAGTTTGGTGTACAAAAGAATTACCGATCAATATATTTAATTGATCATTCTCGTGAGGCTATGTTTTGCAGATATTTTTCAATGCAAGCAACAGAACCTTTGAAATTTGATTCGAAAACGCGGATTCAAATTGAAAGCGACATTTGTTTAGGAAATGGAAGACCTTCTTCGAGCTGTTTCGAAACAGCACGACTTATGGCTTTGCGCATTCTGGAACAAGTAGGTAAATGATAATTATGAAAATAAACTATGATTTTTGATATGGAATGATAAAATCTTGTAGCAGTAAGCCAAATAATAAGAAATCAATAAGATTTTACAGTGGAAGAAATTCTTTAATCATGATGGTAAAGATTTGATTTTAACTAGCTGCTTTGTTTCTGTTGTTGCATTCAATTTCTGTTCACTATAAAACTATATATTTGTAAGTCTAGTCTTATCCTCTCAGAATTATCTGAAACGTTTTTCTGCATCGCCAGCATTCGTAAAATATCTGCAAAAGCTGATGGCTCAGGTTGAAAACAGTGTCGAACTGCCGAATCAAAATATGAGAAAGCGAACACCTGGTTTATTTTTGCATTTTCGAGAATAATATTTAAAGACAGTTTTTTAGAAAAAAAAGTCATGCAAAATTGGTGAACTTGACTCTGATTTAGGTAACAGTTTGATGGCAAAAGCTCCTTTTCTGTCAAATTTGAGGTTTTGTACTTTAGTTTCTCTACGACCAAACAAAGCAGGAGTTCGGATGAATAGTTTACATCCAGCTTTATTTTCTGCTTAATGCCAGCAACTTTTTGAGACTTTAGGTAGCTTGTAATTATTTTTTTGCATAATCAAAAACCCGAAAGAATGGATTGGGGTGATTGAGTAGGGATTTCGCTATGATGACATAGGGAACCAAGGGATTTCAATGAAGTAAACTTGATTTTTACTGAACCCGATAAAAATATTACGCTGTTGTAGGAACCAGTTCGGATCAGTCGTCAGATACAAGTACACCATCATCATTATTTGATAAAATAACATATCGTAATTTGACTCATCTTGATCCGTCACTTTCTGCTGCATTGTTACCACTGAATAGGGAAGAATGTGAGAAAGCTTCTCAACCGGATAGTTCAAATTTTTGTGGCACGAATATTCTTCGTATTGGACGGTCGAGAGCGTAAGTTTTTATTGAATCGTTTTTTTTATAAACTTTAGTTAATCGACTACAGTATTTTTGAAATTACTTGTTACCAAAACTGATTGGCAATTGAACACATTTTACAGTATTTTAATTTTCGTTAAATACATTTCGCTCCACTTCAGGAACGTGTCATTAGCTACAGTTGACGATATGGGCCGCTACCGACCGATGTATGATAATAGTTACAGTATGTCTGAAAATAAGGGAAATACTCGGCAAAAACTTAAAAGCAAACTTGACAAGTATTTGCATTACTCTATGAAAAAGGTGGGTTTAACTCTGGTTGTCATAGCTCTCGTGTTTTTTAACATAGATGGAAATAGATGTGTGGGAGATGTTTGCTTTTTTAATGAAACTAATGGAGTAGAGAATAACCAACCCACCATTATTTAATTCCATTGAGATAGGATGTTGTTTCTTCGAAGTGATGTTTTTTTTGATAAAATTTCAAATCCTAATCGGTATGGTGGAAGGATTGCAGATTCTGTTCTCAAAGAATTCATCAAATCACTTTAAATAATGGGAATCCTTCCTTAATAAAAAATATGCATTGTTTCAGGAAGCAGAAGTAGCGGACCAAGTGGCGCAACTTATCGTTGCTGATGTGCATAACATGGTTTCTGCAGGTAGTTCGATAAGGCTTCCTGATTCTTAGCGTATGCTGGGAAGTCTCTCTCTTTTCTTCTTTAATGTATTTACTTAAGAGGAAAGATGAAAATTTATGCTCATTTGTATAAAAAGCCTTCATTTTATTGCTCAAATTGATTAATCGTATGTCGTTAAAAGTATGAAACGAAAAGGAGATGTTGGTTGTTTAAATTTTACGAGGGAATTAGAAAAGTAGCAGAGCTGTATTTATGTTCTTATTTTGAACAATTTTAACGCAATCAATACATCGGACTGATCTTTTCCGTATTTGTCATTATCAAATGTTATAAGAATGAAGGAAAAACAAGACTAAAAGGTTCAACTGAGGCGTCTTTTCTTCATGCTATTTTTCATATTGATCTTCCCTTGTGCTAAATGTATAATATGTCGTATGCACCATATCTTTATTGATAAGTTTCCTCGTTTTCCTCTATTTGTCGTGTTTACTCGACAAAATGCCACTTTAGTTCATCTGATGAATAATAGCTGTAGTTTAAGAATGAAAATAGGGACAATTTGAAATAGGTTTATTGTATCATTCTAACACACTGTATCCATTTTAGAATTTATATGTTTTATTTTAATTTATTTTAATTTATTTTGGTTTCTTATATTTGTCTCATTTTTTGATTCTTTCTTCCAACTAACGTATTTTGATGAAGTTGTTATAACGTTATAGTGGCCTTCGATTGTTAATTATATGCTTTTTATAGTTTCAATGATTCTTTTTACTATATTTCTTTTTTGTGTCCTTTTAATAACTGAAATTAAAAAGAGAAATTTTGAGTAACAAATGCAGTTTAATTAATAGCAAAAAATTTTTTTATAGAATGTAGATAAGTCGACATATATTATACTGCTGCTAATTATTTCATAGACTAGAAATGAATTCGCAGTTTTTGCAGTTTCATCGTCATCGATAATGTGATTGTACTCCAGTGAAGAATTAACATGTTTGGACTACCAAACCCTATTTCGCGTTTGAACTTGTAATTTTCATAATATTAGAATTTTTTCCCTTGGTAAATATATCTGCAATTTCTACTTTTACTGTTGAAATGACATTATGCAAACTGTGAAGGATGATACGTAGAAGCTGAAATTCAATCTTTGGATTATTCGAATAGTTGTTCTCTTTATTAGATTCACCATCGTATTTTGACTGCGTTTGTAATGTCATCTGATATATTTAAATTTGTAGATATTTTCGATTTAGTAATATCAGTCATTTTGATAGCTGTGACGGGTGGTTCTAGCGTTGCTTATCTTCTGATATGTATCCATTGTTGTATTTTATCTTTCAGCTATTTCGCTGTATTCACTTTTGAACACATATATATATATAATTTAAGTAGGAATTAGAGGCAAATTATACGGGCAGGTTAATCAGCTGTTAAGTAGATTGATGACAAAGCGAAAATCAATACTGGAACAAAAGTACTGTATGCAAGGAAAGGTCATACTCTTGCGCGAAGATTCTTTGCAAAATAGTGTGGTGAAATTGTTGGACAGTCGTTCTGATTCTGAGTTTTCAACAATAAGTTTGTCTAGATTTACTTCACATTGTGTTGTTTTCATTTTATTGCAATCTTGTGATTCAAGCATGGGGAGTAACAAATAATGAACTATATCAGAAGTTTGAGCTGCTATGTCTTATTAATGCGCCCACTTTGGTGGTGGCAATCATTTTATAATCAATTTGATGTTGGGTTTGTGTTTATCTTCGGTGTAAAGCACAAATATATCTCCAAATTTCCTTGTCATTATTTCAAGTTTAAAATATGAAGTGTAGGTGGTACTTCATTTAGACGTCTGCTGCTAGTTAATGTAGTGCAGATAGGCTTGTTGTATTCATTTTTCTACTTATTTAAATTTAAAACTATTTATTTTTTTTATTTAAGTGTAAACTCTTCCTTTATCTAAGTGTAAGTGAACTCCAAGAACTAATTCCTCTATTTAGTGAAGGTTTCTAATAATTTTAGCAGTATGACGACAATTAACAGAGGTGCGCTAGCTCGTATTTAATTCTATGATTCCGAAGTCAACAGGAAAATAAGACAAGGTTTTTTAATTTTTAAAATTAAATCTGGAAAATGAAGGGAGTAGCAGTTGTTATTATTTCTTTCTGGAAGTTTGGAAGTTCAGTGTAAATCTTTCAAGTAAAAAATCAAGAAGCATTCCGTCTCCCTCCCCCACCATCGCAGAATTCGCGAAATTTTGGCAAACACTTTCTCTGTCGCAGGATGTGAATGAAGTTTATTAGTTAGATAGAATTAACAAACTTTTGACAAATTTGAACAATTCTATTTTGAAGACAGTAGGAAATCAAAAATGCGCTACCGGTGTCAGTAAACAAAACAAAGATATGTTTCTAACAACGAACATGTAGTTAATGCTTAATTCTAAAGTTAAAGAATTCATTCGACTTCTAACGAATGCATAATATTTAAACAGGTCAATGATTTCATTTTCAAGTCTTTGTCTACTTTTCATTGCTTAAATAAAGCTTGCATTCGTACAAAAGTGAAGTGGATGCATACACATATACATATGATTATCATTCACTGAGAATTATCAATGGTATAAGCAGATAAGGAATGTGTTGGCAATAAATGTGAATGAAATAATTATTTGGAATGTGTGTGATAAATGGAATGGGTTTTTGTGATAAACTCAAAATGATTAACAATGTGATGGTGATAGTGATGATGATGATTGATGCTAATAGTGTGATAATAATGATGGTAATGATAGTAAACAAGCATTCAATATATGAAAAAAACAAAGCGTTTCTTGAAGAATTTATTAAGAATATCAAAAAGTTGAGGAAGAAGACAAAAGGAGGAGCCTTTTTTGATATGATGGAATCGTTTCCATAAATTGGAAAATTTTTAATGTTTTTAATTTTTCGATATTTTTAGTTTTAATGTGTTGTTATTGGTAAATAAGAAAGAAAAAAGTTGTATTTGGAGATTCCATTTAAGCTTTCAATTTTCATGAAGTTTTCACTCAAATGATTTTGGACATTTTGATTAGATGCGAAACAATTTGAGGTTAAATTCGAGTCCTCAAAAAAAGTTCCTGAAACATGAAAATTCGAAGAATGAAGTAAAGTAGTAAATAACGAAGTATTAGAAAAATCCTAATGCATTGGACATCTCAAATCTCAAATTATTGTAAGGCATTAAAAAAACAAAAAAAGAAGCAAATTAAATTTCATTCAAAAAAATTAAAGGCGGACGATATAAATAAATATCGTTTTTAACGGTATCATATAATTCCTGATCATTTAAAATGTAAATTTGCAATTCAGTAATCCACAATTTCCGAAATATTGGAATAAATCAATGATAACAATGACAATAATAACAACAATGTGATAACAATAAATAACAACAAATTGCTTTTGTGGATTGGCACGAAAACAACAAATGTAATTTTTAGCTAAAATTTGAAATAAGAAGATTCATTATCATTAAAACCTCCCTTCTTCCAGCGTATTTTAGTGAAAGATTTCTTTCTCCACATAACGGATAAGAAACCAATAAGTACCATTAATAATAGCAACGGTAGTAGAGATAGTATTATCCAAAAAGACCGAATACAAATATCATTAGGAGGACCAAAGACATCCATTGGTTCTTCGTAATTTTTCAAACCTTAAAGTAGACATTTTACAAATCTATTTCATCTTCATAAGATTCTAAAATAATTTCTATTAATCTGTGTTGACGAAAAAATCAATTTAATTCAAAATTCTTCTATTTTGCACTTAAAAAAAACTTAAAAGCAAAACTCTCGTACTTAAAAGAGATATATATAACAAAAATATATATCCCTTTATTTAATAGCTAATACTGAAATACAAATGATGAATGAATAATCATATTAAGTTGATTACCCTGATATTTCCAGCGTTTCATGTCGCGTTGTGCTCGTACCAGCTCCTCTTCTTCGTTGACATGTAATGCTCCAGAATATGCCATCCATTTTCCACCTTTTACTATGTGCTTTTCTAACTCTTCATCTACCGAATTTCTTGGAATTTCACGTATATGCCGAAAACGACCCTGTTTCATTGATTCGCGCCGTTTCGTACAATTAATCTAATAATTCCATTATGATTAGTAGGAAAGTTTCATAAATTAGATAAATTACTAATTGATTAATGATCAAAAGAAAAACCTTTGGACAGCTTTCAATGCATGCCGAACAGTCACATTGAAAACGGATCATTGAACTATCAGGCCATTTAAATGTCCGAAATATTGCTGTTGCAAGCCACAGTTGTAGATATGTCCATTCTGGGAAAAGTTCGGTGTCAATAGCACATCCACTTTGATCAGTTAACAAATACAATTCACTTGTCTCCAAATTTATTGCAAAACAATTTCGCGGTAGAACTCCATATGTATCTATAATAAGAAATTTATTAAAAATCAAAAGCTATATCACTGAATATTGATTTATTTATTTATTATAAAATTAATTGAATTGTCTTCAACTCACTTATTCAAAAACATTATTGAAATTTAATTACCTTGATTGGCAAAATGAGCCAGATTCATTGAATTATTAGTGTTGGTATTTCTATCCAAATGTTTTACTCATCATTTTGATCAATTTAAATAGCTACTGATAGTGATAAATTAAATTTCAAGAATAAATGAATTCCCATATTTCACATGTTACAATCAACAAATATTAATTGAAGTTTTTGCATTTGTATGTCAACTGCTATGTTACACTACTATCATTCAAAAGATAACAGAAATATTAAAATAAATATTAAAATAAAGTTGAGCAAACCATTTGGAGAAACTATTAGGACAAGTTTCAATGGTTGTCCAACGGTAGCAGTATCAATTAGCTGATCTTGTTCATTAGTAACGGTTAATGAGCATGTTGGTCCAGTTCCAGTCTCAATGATGGTCTTTGTGGTTGTTATCTCCGAAATGCCCACATGACTTGCTACCTATAAATTCATTTTTCTTCGACTCCATGATTAATAATCACTGCATTACATTTCTATGAAGTCCGATCTACAAGTAAAATCTCAGTAATTATTGTTGTTCTAGTTTTGTCATTATGTTTGCAAAAGAAAGAAAAGTTTTGGAATGATTTTTCAATTTATTCTATCTCAAAAATAAGCCTCATTTAATATTGTTAGCAATATGGAAGCGTTTAGTATTCAATGGATATACTGGATTATCAAATAATAACATTGATATAAAATTAAATATAAGTAGATGCTACTGGTGTCGTATTTCTTTAAGCCTTCATTTAATATACATAAATAAATACACGATTTTTGAAAAAATCAATGATTAATCACCACATTACAGTTCTATGAAGTCTGATTTACAAGTAAAAAGTGACTAATCTCAACAATTATTAATGTTCTAATTTAAAAAATGGATATCACTTGAAAATAAATTCCAATATACCTTTTAGGGCAAGAAATACTATAAAATTTGGTCTTATTTTCAGAGAATTACAGTATTACTGTCAAACGTAACTACTCTTACTGTCATTAGCATTTTTAGGACTATAGCTTATCATTATCATTTATGCGAAAATCTGCATAAATTTTATAATTTACGAATATGTGAATTGAACTTCAATTTAGTAGATAATTTCAGAAATGACCTTTCGTACGCCAACAGGATATGTACATCTGATATCATAAGCATCCGCTCGTTCAGTGATAAACATCGGATGTCGCTGAATTACTACTGTCACAGCTATAGTATTCTAAACAAACGTTAAGATAGGGGCACAATAGCACATTTTCCAATTGTATTGTAAGACGATTGTAATTGCAAATTTGTAAATTGTAAAACTTTTGTAAAATTTTTTTTGTAAAGCTTATAAAACAAATCAATTCGTTATTATCATCCGCTAGTTTTAATCTTTCTAAATTGAAAAAAAAAATGTTAAGAACAAACCGGTTCTTCGAATCTAACATTGCAGTGGGCATACTGAATTATAAGACGATATTCGGTTTCGTTAGCAAGCAAAGCATTGAGCTTCTTAGAGCAAAATGGATTATCAGTTTGACCACGAACAAATATTCGACCATCGTACAGGTCAGGATCATTGACCAAAATTAAGGTCATCCCATCCAGTTCACAATCTACTAAAAAAGAAAAATTTCAAGTTTGGGAAAAGTTGCTTTCGTTATACAGTAATAAATTGATAGTTTTCCTTACTCTATTATTGTGTTTTACTGTTATCTCACAAATGTTTTCTCTACGAAAGACAAACAGCGCTTAAGAATATATTATCGATTGATTCCCAGATTCTTGAACGTCTATTAATTGTTAAGGTTCCAGGGCCCATTAGAATATTTTTTGTAATGATAGGACAGTTTGGTTTTGCATCTACGAATGGGTACTTACCGGACATATTGTGAAGAGGATGATGTTGAGAGCATTTGCGTCCATTTCCCTGATAACCTGTCGGGCAAATACATGTGAAGGAACCAGGCATATTATTACAAAGCGCCACTGAATGACAATCGTGCGTACCCATTGCACATTCATCAATATCTGTAATTTGTTTCAATATTAGCATTTTTTTACTCCGATGACTTACCTTCAAAGAGTCGATTAAAATATAAGTTTGAATTTGCAGTAGCATCCAAGATTTTTGTTAATTTATTTTAGATGAAAAAAACTTTCAGTAACCTTTAAAAGATAAAGTTAAGATCAAAATATTCGGCAGTTTACTTTTTCTACAACATACCCATGCAAGTGTCATTTGCGCCCCGTTTGTATCCTTCCGTGCATCGACACTCTCCGCGGTAACATTGCTCATTTGCAACACATTGCTGCTTACATTCTGAAATATTGCTCCTGTTACAGTGACATTCGAGGCTTTTACTACTACAGAAGTTTCAAATTTATTCATAAAGGAACGTCCCACTCAAAGATAACCATTTTCATAACTGCAGAAACTTCAAACTATTGTTTGATATTTTACTTTTTTTATTCATAGCAACAAATATTAGTAAAACATTAATTAGTTTAGTGAATTAAAGTAAAACAAGAAATTAACCTGCTCGGCAATAATATCCGTCTCCTTCAAATCCCTGTTTACACTGGCATATACCAGTTGAAAGGCATTCCGCATTCTGATCACAAATGCTTGTATCATTGGAACACAACAAATTCTTTTTCCTGTTACATTCCATTCCATTTCCAATGTAACCTTTGAGAAAAATTTTTAGTCTTAAATTTTAACTGTTTAATCTCATCCAAGTCCTTTTGTTTATTCCATCTTGATGTTTTTATAAGAATTTGAATTTGTTATACTTTGTAATTCAAATAAATAAAAGATAAGGATAACCTACCGCGCGTGCACTTACAACGCCTTTTATCTTCATCACAAATAGCATTAGAATGGCAAAGCCCCGGATAATGAATGCAGTCCGATGGATCAGCAAAGCAAACTGCGCCATTACCAAAATAGCCCTTGAAATATCGCAAATGTAAACAAAACAGAAATGAATTGAAGTGAATTACAAAATTGAATGGCTTTAGTGTAATCATTGAAATTTCAAAGAATTTAAAAACGACGAGAAAAATGTTACCTTATCACAAATACAAGTTTCATTATAGCATTTTGCTTTCATATCACATCGTGTACAATCATGTAATGGTTCAACCGCAACACATTCAGTACCATCACCTATTTTAATATGTATTCTTTAGTTCTATTCATAACATAAATTTTTATAAAAATGAATGAAAGTTATTAACTATTAGCTGATAAGAGAATTCATCAAATTATTGAATTCGAATGATAGATTGCAAATAAGCCAAGTAAAAAAAGAAATATCAATATGAAAATTATACATTACCAGTGTATCCAACATTGCATGTACATCTTCTACCAATACATTCAGCAAAATTACTGCATAAATTTGGCCTCAACAAGCAATCCTATAAAATATCACTAATGATAAAATATTTCCATTTTTATCATGATTAATAATAATGTTTCAAAAAAATTTATTTCAAGTTATCGAAAATAAATGTACGGTAATATATACTGCACCTCATATTTTTTAAATCATTTTACTTATTTTAATACATGAAAACGTACGAAAGTATCTGGAGCGCAAATGATGCCATCACCAATGTAACCTTGAATACATTTACATGTATGCGTCGATACGTCACACACAGCACGTAAATCGCAAACTGTTGGATCGAAAGTACAATCTTCAGCATCTTTCCTGAGAAAATCAAAGTTAATTATTTATTCAAAATTTAAATTCTTATTTTTTAAAAGGAAAAATTGCTTATCATTCTCATTCTAAGCATTCTTTGGCTTCATGTCGAACTCTCATATTATCTTTCCTCCTATCTCACAAAATTTTCTTCACCTTGTCCTAATTATTCAAGATAGTCTTAATTTAGCTTCCAATCAGCTCCACAAATAAAACATTAGAGTATATAAACGGAAATGATCAAAAGTTAACCAACATGCAAATGGAGTATCCATCACCACGATATCCTAATTTACAAACGCATTCTCCGCTTTCCTCTGCACAAATTGCAAGTTCATGACATGCTGATTGATTGGCAGCAGTGCATCTTTGAACGCCTATTTTTTGCGCCTCTTCCGAAATGATCGGAATTCTAGATGAAGAAATAGAGTCAGAATAAACAGAGGTATCAAAACCAGGAATGCTCGTAGTTCCTTTTGCGCTCTCATGCATCGATACTATTTCCGAAGATAGTACTCTAGGAGTGGATAATAATTTATTATCAGGTTTTGTACTAGGCTCCCAATCTTTGCTGATAAAGTCATCTTTGCCAGAACTCTCAGATACTGTTACGTGAATAATTTCACTTTTCCAACTTGGTGAAGTTCTGGAAGTAGTGACACTTTCGCTTTCAAAACTTTCTTTAGTTACATTTATGCCTTTTCTTGTTACAGTACTGCTTTGCTGAGTTGTCACATCGTTTGTTGTTTCAGTTACTTCCTGTAACATGGTTCATGTAACAATTGAAAAATTCTGTACATTTAAGACTTTATCTTTAATAGATATCATTCCTTATCAGCACTACCTTTAATTCTAATTAAATGTGCTCAGCAAGGCTCTCAGAAATGTCATAAAGCATTCTATTTACATATGTTTCCTTGGGAATTGAACAAAAACACAAACCGTAACTGGCACAACTGTGAACGGACCGGCAAATCCGGAAGCAAAAACAGAATCATAGGTCAACATTGTACTTTCTCTTCCCGTCTCCTGATTCACAACTACACCACCTTTTGTGATCTTTGAAACGTCTGTCCTTTCATCCTGTTTTTCTCCACTTTCTGCTGTACATATAAATTTTGCGGAAAATTTAATTTGCATAGAAATTTGAATTAAGTTTTTAATTGCAGTTAAATCTGAATCTGAAATAATGAATAGACTGCTTGACAATTGCTTGCCTAAATCATGTCGACTGTTGAAGAATAAATTTATTTAAATAGATAAATAAGTAAGCAGAAAAAACTTACATTGGCATAAATTTACTCCATCTCCCCGATATCCATCATTGCACTTGCAGGTTCCGTTAAGTTGACATCGAGCATTTTTGTGGCACATTGATACATTCAAATGACAATTAGGACCTGTAAAATCGGCAATTGAAAATCCATTTCAGTCCTCAAATTAAAGCTACTATTTTCCGCCAATGTCGAAATTTGTTGAATTCTTCCCACTTTCATTGATTGATCTATTCTCATATGATCCAAAATTATTTATATATATTATTTATATATTATCCTGATTTCGAACGACTGCCACTGATATCAACCTTGGAGAGAGTTCAACAATCTGACAATAAAAGACGCTGCGATTTGATTAATTTGAAAATTCATTTCAATCTTCAAACTAAAGTTGGCCCTAAAATAGTAATATGATATCTTTAGTATTAGTATGAAAACATAATGCATTAAAGAATCTGATTGATTCATTTCGATGATTTGCCTTTTGATTATTCTACCTGCGTAGCAGAATTAAAAGAAGTAATAGTTACTAAATTAAAAATTATGGAACGTGAAGTACTTTGTTACTTGATTAAAAAAACACGTAATTGGTGAAGAATGAATGTCATTATTCCATCTATTCCTAATTAAAATTACCTAAGATCATTTAAATTCAGGGCAGAAGAACAATGTACTACATAACATTCTTCACTTAAAGTAGTATTCAAACGAATTAATTTCATGACAATGCAATCATCGATATATTAATTCTTTTAGAATAATAAATCCGTAACCATTGCTCTACGATACATATCCATCCGAAGTATTTTGTGAATTATTGATTTTTTAAATGCGTTTTATATTTTGAAAAACCCACAGAATAGAAGCAAATATGCGATAGCAGCTAACGTCCAAATTTATTGAATTTTGGCATACATTTAAATCCGTTATCAATGTAGCCGAACTGACATTCACAGGTGAATGAACCGTAAATATTATGGCAATTAGTTGCCAGATCGCATACACTCATCAATAAAATCTGAGAGTAGTACAATGTGATTTAGTAGGTACAAGCAGTTTTTCACGTTTCCATTTTCTGATATCGATTATCACCAGGAAAAAGAGACTTCAAAGGTTATATAGATAATTGATATATCCATCGAATCATTTATATTAGCTCCACTTTTTCTTTTACTAATTTCATGTTCAAGATTAATTCTTCCCATCGGGAATTCCTTGAGTATAAACTTGACTAGATGGTGATGATATCAGCCACAAGTTTGGTTTACATAATGATCATAACATCACTTCAAGGATCTAACTAACGATGAGAGTGTAATAATTGTGAGAAGTTTCGCTAACAGATACGAGTACATATTGTTCTATGAAACTTACCATCACAGTGTCGCCCATCACCAATATATCCAATTTTGCAAATGCAAAAATGACGCCCCGGATTTACATCGACACATTCAGCATTCACGTCACAATCGTTCTTCTCTGGATTCGCGCAATTACCTGCCTCTTGTATTGCTGAAAGTAAGCAACACCTGCTTTCTCTTATCTCACTTCAATATATAATTTTAATAATATCTACGTGATCCAAAATTATCATAATTTTACTTTTTTTATCATTGTTCATGAAATGCGCCTAATATGAAATAATCCTAATTGAAATACTCTCAACTTTTGTAGAAAACGTAGGGGCAAAGTTAAAATGATTATTCCTTAATTCCTTTTCAATTAATCGTCTTTTTCCAATAACAGGTTCACAGTAAGAAAGCGATAACTTACGGAGACATATTCCATTTAATGGTTGATAACCAATAATGCACGATCCACACTGTGGTACATCTTCATCATCGATATGACATGTTCTATTCACATCATTGCATTTCTTTCTCCATTCATCGTTACAACCGGAATCGGCTTTTATGAACGATTTGGTAGCTTAAATTGCAAAAATTTATTGATATGAAAATATGATAGAAGAGAAGAGAAAGATGTTGAATTGACCACAAGAGAAAATCAAACAGAATCATGTGAAGAAGGAATGATCTTTCAAACTATGTGACTTTTTAATCTCGATATTTAAAATTTCAATTTCGCTCATAATTAAACTGAAAATAATATGGCACATACCAATGCAATGTATGCCATTACCAATAAATCCCTGCGGACATTTACATCCGACACTTCCCAAATAATTTTCGCATCGAGCAGCTACATTGCAACCAGCAATACCGCGCTCACATTCGTTAACATCTGTTATATAGCGGATTTCAGAAATATCTCAGAAACACTTCCATGAATATAGTGAATATTAAGTAGTTTCAAGAATTCAATAAATTTTATTAAGCCATCTAAGAAATATAAAAATGGAAAGTGTTAAATTTACTGATACTGCATTGATATTATAACAAAGAACTCACCAACGCATACACCTCCTGCACCTTCATAACCAGATGAACATTCACATATGTAACTACCATCTGTGTTAACACAAACTGAATTTGAGGGATCGCAGTTGTGACGGTTCTCTGCACATTCATCAATATCTAAATATCATATTTTTAATTTGTAATACGCGATAGAAGCTGTTTAGTTGAAAAATATAAATTAAACTGCTGAAATAGACATCAGCGATACGACACCACTACGCAGAAATCAAATATCATAATGTCAATTAGCAAACCATTTTTAAGCGTAAGCATTTAAAGCAAAATACTAAAGTACGAAAAAGAGATAATGCGATATGTGTAGCAGATTTTATATTGTTTTAGGAAATGCCATTTTCAATCATTATTTCGAAAATCTTCTTAATATTATCGACACTGTCTTTGCAAAAGTTAGCATAACTTTTCTAATAATAAATTTTCACACTATTGCGGAAACTTCACAGCGAAAGCCTCCACTGTTTAAGAAAATGCGTGAATATGCAATAAAATATACCTTCGCAGCTATGTTTGATAGAATTATACCGATAATTAGCGGAACATTCACATATCGAGGTAGTCGCAAAACCGAGGTTAACTGACAAACATGTTGTATGATTGGTATGTTTGCAAACCGATAATTTATCCTAAAAATTTCCCTCTATGTGAGATTACATATGGAATAGATGAAATTTCGAAATACAAATTAAATAAAAAATAGTAAGAGAAATTACGATACCAAACAAGCGGTATCAGATGGATTGATGCATTCGTTTTTACCATCGCCAACCCACTCATCAGGGCATTGACAACTGAAGGAACCGGAATGATTGATACAAATAGCTTGAGGATGACATGGATTATTCTCGCATTCATCAATGTCTGAATATATTATATGGAAAACATATACTCTTCGAAAAGTCATTTTTAAAAAACGCTTTTCTTGCTATTACTATTGTTAACTATTACTATTGAGAAAAGAAACTGAATATTGCGAACTTAGGAAAAGTAATGCAGTCAAAATTAAGGAAATATTACTATGTAAGACATTACTTAAAATAACATAATGCGATCGAATTAATTGAATTATATAAGTGAAAATGTAAATGCATATATTATCGCTGCAATAGTCAGTTTGGTTTACAGATAATTCACATCTTAATAAAGAAGTATCCAGTGGATGAATTTAATTATTTTAATTCAGAAAATAATTTAATTATGAAGTATTAATAATTACCGTCACAATTGGAGCCATCTCCTTTGTAGCCAGGATGGCAGTGACATGAATAAGAGCCCATAATATTTTCGCAGGATGCATTCTTATGACATACATCACTTTGAGTGCATTCATTAATGTCAATACAGCTCGTTCCATCCTTCATAAAACCTTTTTTACAAGTGTTACAGTCAATTTCACCTTGGCCATCCACCAAACATAAATGATTACTTCCACAATTAGACTTCGCTAATTCTTCTTCCTTACAATGTCTCTTCTCTATTGGAATGCATGTGTATCCATCACCTAAATTTTATCGCACTTATGAATACGAAATATTGAAAAAGGTTGAACGCTAATTATATGACAGCAATTAGATGGAAGAGATAGGTATATGAAATTAAGAAATACCTGTATAGCCAAAATTACACTGACACTGATAAGATCCTGGTATATTGGTACAATTAGCGTATTGACTACAAGGCCGCCCAGCACGCTCTTCGCATTCGTCAATGTCTATACAAATATGTTCTTTTGACATCCGATAACCAGTTTCGCAAAAACACATGAAACCACCAACTTTATTTGAACATCGAGATGTTGAATCACAATCATCCAAATGCCGCTCACATTCATTGATATCTTAAAGAGATTAATTCAGAATCTTGCATTGTGTGGTTATGGAATCATGCTTTTTATTTCCATATTGTAATGTAAAGATAAAAGGTAGCACCGATACATGAAGTTACTGGTGGTTGTCCATCAAATCCCGGATAACAACGACAAACGCCAGATCGTCGTTCGCAGTATGCATCAGTTCCACATTCATCGCTACTTCGACAATGCAAAGATACACCGATATTAGTGTAATTTTGAATGATTGCTGTTTCTGTAGTTACTTTTAGATTGTATGTCTCTTTCGTAGTTGTCACGTATTGTCCAAATTTCGAAATATTATCATACAGAGAACTTATAGTTTCCTAAAATGAATAGTTGAAAATTTTCGAGTTATAATAATATTAATTTAAAAAATTTAATCAAATTGGAAAGTCATCATTACAAAAATTTAGCCAAAAAATTGAGAAAAGGAAAAAGGATCAATTCCTTCGCCAAGTTCTAAATTCAGGTCTGAGAAAACATAAGTAAATAAATGAATTGGCACAATCAAAAAACTGCCGAAATCTTACTTGTTGTGCTATTTTTAACAAGCTTTCATCGCTTACTGAGCTTTTATTTAATGTTTGATCAACTTCTGTGAAAATCGCTGTTGGATTAATAGTTGATTCGGATGTTTCCACTCCAGAAGTGAGACCAGGAACTTCTGTCTTCACTTCTAGCACCTCACTTTTTTTTGTCTCTGGTTTCAACGTCCATCCGGCAGCTTTTGCACCTGTTTTTAATAAATCTGTGCTATCAGCAGTTGATACAATTTCTAAATTACCCTTAGATGGTGTTCGTGTTAATGAAAAATCGGTTTTAGAACTTTCGGAGTGCTCAAGAACGGTGCTGTTTTCTGCTGGTGTTTTTCGAGATACAGAATTCTCGAAAGATATTTGAGAAATTTGAGGAGCAAGAGTGGTGGAAGGTGTGATTTGAGAAACAGATTCTTTCGTTTCAAAAACAGGTAACAAACTTGAAAAAGTCTCTGGATTTGTAACACTGACAGTGCTTTCATATTTCATAACAACTTCAATAGAAGGAAATGAAGGACTGGTCGAAGTTCTAAAACCAGAAGACGCGGTCTCAAACACTGAAGATGTTTCTTCTCGAAATGATACTGATTCGCTTTCCACTGGACCAATTGACGCAGTTCCCATACTCGCTTTGCTTGTCGTAGTCATAAATTTTGAAAAACTTTCATCTTTTACCGACTCTAATGTCCCCGTGCCATTCCCAAAAACGGTTGTTGTCTCTAATTTCGAAGCACTTATTTCGTCAAATTTGAGTCCTGAAGTTTTCTGCTCAACAATCGTCGCAAGATCAGAACTTGACAATGAAATCGTTGATGTCTCTGCATTCTTTGATTGCGAAAAAACGTCCGAAGTAACTGTCGTTGTATTGATTCCGTACTCAATCTCTTTTGTAGAAACTGATTGTGAAATAAGAGAAGTTTCTAGTTTAATTGTTTCGGAAATTGCAGAGGATCCGGTTTCTTCTATTGTCGTAACAGATGAAGCCAAGCTATTCGATCCAATTGCATTCGTAGTCGCAGCTTCACTAACTGTCGCAACATCAGAAGCTGTCCATTCTTTGGTTTCACTAAATGCTTCTGTTACGTTTGTTACTCGCGGTACTTCAACTGTCCCGACATGTAGACTTCCGGATATGATCACGTCAGGTTTTGTTCCCGCTGATGCATCTTTTGAAATGCTGGAAGTTACTAATTCTTTCTCAAAGACATTTTTCTCTGTTATACTATAGGTACTAGGTTTCTGTGTAGCAGCTTCTGTCATAGTCACAGATTCTGAAGTGGCACTCAAGTCCACAGAAGTTGAATACGAGGAATACTTAATGCTTTCATCTGTCGCCACAACTCCTCTCCCCACTTCTTCGGTGATAGTTACAACTTTTGCAATGTTTTCAACAGTCGAACTTGCAGGTTCTTCACTAGTTTCGGATGGTTTCGCAAGAATTTCTTTATTTAAAGAGCTTGAAAATCCTTTTGACGATTCTATGGATTGCGGTGTAGTAACAATTCTTAATTTTTCACTATCCATTTGAAAAATAGTAGTTTCATCGCTATCTGTGGGTTTCAAAGTATTTTTAGTTTTTTTATCAATTGGTAGCAAAGTCTTACCAGTCGTAGGAAAGAGTGCCATAGATTCAGATGATGATTGTTTCGAAATCACTGCAATTTCAGCTGTACCTGATGCAGAAGTGGAAGCAATTTCAGGTCTAAAAATATTTGCAGTGGGACCTAATTCTTTTCCGCTAATAATGCCATCAATCTGCTCAAAATCTTTCGAAGTAATTGCTTCAAAAGCTGTTGTTTCTTTGATATAGTGAGAATCAAATGTTGAAAATTCTCTTGTGGTCAAATTTCCTCCTGTAGAATCTGAAGTAGACTTCACATCTCTGTCTGACTCCGTTGTGGATAGCAAGGAGAACGAAGTATTTAAAATAGCATCTGGTGATATATCCACTATATTAGTCCAATTTTTCTGCACTGGTGCACTCGTCGCAGCAATTACAATTTCGGTTCTTTTAGGATATCCTTTCATGAGTACAATTTCCAATCCAACGTCGTGAATCTTATCATTTGCAGCTACTGTTTTTAAAAGATCACTTGTTTCGATGATAGTACTTGAAACAAGACCTCTGGTGTTGCTGACAGTTTGAAAGTTAGTCATTTCCTCTCCTGAACCCTCAACTTCGACATCTTTCTTTGGAGGTGCCTTGCGATGTTCTATTTCCATAGTAGTACTTTTGCCGTCATTTACAACAGATTCTGTCTTTGTTACTTCTTCTGTAGCATTTCCAGATATCAATTTCATCGATAAATTGGCAGTTGTTACTTGACTAGCAACAGATGACGTGCTTAATGGGATAGTTCCAGTTGCGCTTTCAATTAGTGTTGCATTTGTCGTTGTAATCGAGTACTGAGTTGCTATTGTTCTCGATGACTCATCATGACTTATTGGTTTGCTGAATGAAATTAATACTGCAACAGGTGTTGTCGTTGAAAGTTGTTGATTGGAAGACAAAAGACTACTTATTGGAGTTGTTGCAATTACAGTATCACGCGATGTCGTATCGTCGGCCTCAGTATTTCCAGATGTTTGCTCAAATGTTGAAGGTACTGCAGAGCTTTTAACAATCTTTGTTGGTTCTTCTGAAAACTTTTCCAAAGTAATTGTTTCAGCTCTCCTCTGTGTTACCTCAATTGGGACTGAGGTTTGGATGAATTCTGACTTGGTGGTCTCAGTTTTTTGTGATGCTGTTGTTAAATCTGGTTTGAATTTCGTAGTATTTTCTATAAACTGAATTGATTCAATGCTTTTCGTATATGGATAAAATGTAGTATCTACATCAACACTTCCACCATTTTCTAGAACATGCTCACTGGATACTTTCACTATTTCAATTCCTACTTGTGGTTCGGTCGTTAAAGCAACTTTAACTATTTCAACACCAAATTTTTGAGTGGTATCATACAATTTGTCTGATCTTTCAGAAACTGGAGTTAAACCTAGCAAATCAGATTTTGGAATAACAATTGGTGTTCCTTTATGAGTGATCTCCACAACCGCTGGTATGACAGTTTCTTCTTTTACACTAATTGCTACTTCAGCTTCAGAAACGGTGTTCCCTAGCTGCGGTTTCTGTGCTTTTTCCTTTTTCCAGTGTGATTTACTTTCTGGAATAGAAGGAGAGGTTATCGCTTCAGTAATTACCGTTTGGTTCGGCGACGTTAGAGAATCATTGATTTCTTTATCAGTCAAATGCATCTGCATTTCAGAATTTTCATTAATAATATATGTTGTGGTTCTGAGTTGCTCTTCCACGATCGATGGTGTGGTCAAGACAATTTCTTTGCCGGTGGCTCCTGCTGTTTGTTTTGTTTCAATATTTGTTTTTGTACCTATTGATTCGTCTGGTTTAGTCAAATCATTTTCTGTTACTGTAATTGTTGTTTTTGCCTTATCATCTTTCAGAATCATAGTTCTTTCTAATTTTACACTTTTCATTGATCCTGCTTCAGAAACCGATTTAGTATCTATGCTGTAGGTAGAAGTTTCAGGGGTTTTAGAAGCTGATTTTCCAGAATTATCCTGACTGGTGTTGATTTCACTTGAAACTATTTCAAGGATTTGTGGCGTTAAAGTTTTTGGAGTGAAAATAACAGGACTTTCTGAGCTTCGTTCTAATGATATTCTTGATTCAGTAGATGTATGACTTATTGATGCTTTGGAAGACTGGAAAATAATGATTTCAGCTTTTTCGGTTTCTTCTTCCCCAATTTTATGTATTTCACCGAAATTGCTAGCAGTTGGCAGCGATGAAGATGTAGTGATTGTCAAGATCCCATCAGAGTCCTTTTTACTACTTCTATTAGCTTCTGAAGATACCGAAGTGACAGCCTCCAGCATTCCACTAGGAGTTGTTTCTTTTACTCCATAAATGTCACTAGTTTCCATACTTTCGCCAGATCCTTCTGTTTCTTCACTCTTTTCACCGCCATCTGCTCTTCCTTCTTTGACTGAAGATTCAAAGTACTTTCCTATTTCTGTCCCGTTTTCATGCACTTCTGAAATGCTAAATTTAATAGCAAATTAACACAAAAAAGTCACGTGAAAAGCTCGAAAAGATGATTAAAAAGGAAGCTATTCACTAGATCTTGACTGGTTAGATTAAATTCTAATTAGAATTCAATTCTAAATTCATTTTGAGAAAAGTATATTGTGTTTAGAAATGGAACAATGCCTAATCGCCCTCTCTAATTACGGACATTGCTTATTAAACAACTGCATTTTTTTTGAAACAGCATGGTTTATGCGTGATAATGAAATGAAAAATTGTGTAATTTCGGAAATTTTGACAATTAATTATGCAAGATGTTAAAAATGCAAAACAGAAAGTGCAATGAACACATAAAAAGAAGTGCACTTCTTCAAACGTTGCAAATGCTGCAAAAGACGATTCGGTTTCTTGTCCTCAAATCTATGCCTCAGAAGAATAATAAATATTAAGAATTAATATTTGATTCAATCTTCTTTTTTACGCGCGAATATGAATCATACCAATGCCAATCAATGTCCCATTCTTGTCCTTTGTCACATTCCATTTTTTACTTTCAATTCGTCCACGTCCAATAATTATCGCATGGCCTGTGAAATTTTTCCATTCCCCAACCGTTTCAATAGCCCAACTATTTCTTCGTCCACTACCACTAAATTCAGTTTTACTAGACTTAACATTCCAAGAGTCATGTGCATTGCCTGCATTGCCAGCACTGGTAATATCACTAGAGCCGAAGGTAACAGTTTCAATGCCGCCTGTAATTTTTTTGATAGCAGAAGGCAAGAGATGCTCTCCTTTAGTGTTATCAGCAGTAAGACTATTTTCATGACCATTAGTAATTTCTAAATCCATGCAGTGCGATAAAGTCGAATTTGTGGTGCAACATGCGAATGAGCCGCGCAAATTAATACACCATGAATCAGATTGATTACATAGGCCAAGCTCGCATTCATTAACATCTACAACAAAGAATGACATTACTCTTTTAAAGTAACAAAATTCTTCAGATTTCTTAAATTATTTCAAATTTAAACAAAACCAAATGAATTATTGAATAGCGTTTTCTGCAACTTTTTTCAATAGAGATATAAATGGAAGTATCGGTTGAAAAATAATAATTTACCTGCACAACCTTCGAAGGTATTTCCAATGAAACCATCATTGCACTGGCAGGTATCATTAACGCAATGCGAGTCAGCGGGACATCCAAAATAGCATGCAAGACCGAATTGTCCCACTGATATCACCTGCTTATCGATGACCACAAAACCGCCTGTTTCTTTTTGTTGAATACTGCCAGTTGAAAAAATCCGCCGAATGCCTTTAATTAAGCGTGTGCGTGGATTTGTGAGTGGGATAAGTAAATATTTAGTGAGTGAAATAAATTATTGCTAATTAATGTTAGTTACATTAATTTCGATGTTGCCTGTTTTGAAAGTGAAGTGGAAAATGAATATATTTTTTTGTAAAGTATATATGCATCATTGTCTTGCAAACACGGTTAAAAGAACTGTGAATAATTACAGTAAATTCATAATTACAGCGGGTATATAAATGATTGCGGTAAATATATAATAGTAAGTTAAGTATATAATAACTATGGTAAATATATAATAGTTACGATAAACATGATAAAAACTTAATTTATTACCATCCAGTTTAGAATTGCTACCAAGGCATTCAGGATTCTTTGAATCGGCACTACAACAAATGAATCCACCAAGTAAATTGACACACCATTCGCCAGCACCCGGACATTGCTTATCATCCTCACATTCATTTACATCTACAGTTTCATTTTCGGATGAAATCAATTGCAAAAATTATAACGAACAAAATTATTGCAAAATCTTTGATTAGCAAAAGCGCGCAATACAAAACTTCACGGTAGACCAATTACAATGAGTGCCTTATTGGAGATAATATATAACAATAAGTGATCGATTAAGATGAATTGATATTTCAAAAACTCTATTTTCGAAATTCCTCAAAAGAACCTTTGTAAAACTAAAGCTTTAACAAAACGCAAAAAAAAATTCTATTCAGCAAAAATTGTTTAAGAATTTTTTTAATTTAAAAGCTCTCACACAAACACTTACCAGAACACTTAATTCGTGGATCACCACTAAATCCTTCCATGCATTGACATGTTTCATTATAGCATACCGCATGCAGTCCGCATCCACCAGAACAGAATGCACCCTTTTCTTGAAATTACGAAATAATGTAAAAAGAAAAATACCATTTCTAAATAATAAATTTACCATTAAGGCAAGGTTACTAACTTATCCTAACGAATAATTTCACTTTCATAAGCCTTGCAGCAAGAAATCAACGTAACACTTATTTTCATCATTTCATTAAAAAAAATCTCATATGCTTCAATTTCTTTCTATCTCGCCTTATTTGGTTAAAATAAAATTAATTTTAAATAGAAAGATACCTCGTATACACCTCCTATCATCCAGATATTCTTCACAACATATATAGCCGCCATCGACATTCACACAACGCAATTCACCGATTTGACCTTCGCAAGGGTTATGCTTCGCTGCGCATTCATTTACGTCTGTAAATATGGTAGAACGCTAACATCTTTCAATAATTTGGAATATTTGATTAGCATTAACTGATAATATTCAAATATAATCTGATAAAAGATATAGAAGTACAGGAACTTGATAACTCGCACTTTTTTACAACGAACTAAAATCTTTATATTTTTAAAAATACAAACCGTAACAGTTCAAGCCATCACCAATATATCCTGATTGACACATACACATTCGCAGATTACCAATGCAAAAAGCATGCCGATCACAAATACCTTCCTGTTGATCACAGTCATTTAGTGCTAAAATAATATTTCAATTACTCTTTTTCATCATTATGGTGTCATATTCGGAAAAAAGAGAAAGAAAAATGTTAAATTTTGTTAAAAATCATATTTAAAAAACTGACGTGTACAATTTACACCATCACCGGTAAAACCGTCTTCACATATGCATTGATAACTTCCGACCGTATTGATACAAGTAGCACGTTTGTTGCATTCAGAAGTCTTTTCCGCACACTCATCGATATCAACGCACGTTTCATTCACCAAGCGATAACCAATGTCACATTTTTCCACACATTTAAATCTACCAATCTATGAAAAAAAATTTTTCTAATAATAAAAGTATCAAAAATATCATACTATCATTAATAATCACTATTGCATAAAGTATTTCAAAATATAACAAAAAAATTCCTCAGAAGTCATAAATGGCCCAAACTATATCAATTGCTACTTTCAAGATTTTCCAATTGATAACTAAAATCATCCTAGCTGTTAAGGTGATTTATCATAGCCATACAAATTGTTCAGTGATACATGCTGTGAGTCTTTCGGAAGGTTAACCAATGTTTTATGGAAGAACATATATCGATTATTTTAAAATCATATAATGAAAAATTTCACCTCATTTTGACATTTAAAATTCTCTGGACAATTATGCATTTCTTGGGCGCATTCATCGATATCTGTAAAGACGTTTTATCATTTAAGAATTATAGATAATCATATTGCAAACAATTTGATAGCTCTTGAATTTTTCTCATGATGACTCCACGATGTAAGGTTATTGTCGCCAGCGAATATGTTAAGAAAATATAGGATAGCAAAATGTGATAAAGAGAGAAAGAGGAATAAACATCTTTCTTGACTTTTAACTTGCTGAAATTAATTTCTCAACTGGTACAAAAAGAATCTAAATTCAGTATATATGCCTAAGAAAAAGATATTTAAATTTGAATTTCTATTATTTAAACATATTTGCAACTTTTCTATATTCCTTTAAAAGAAGTCTTTTCAAATAACAAATCAATTCTACCAGCGCAACGTTCAAGTGGTATGCCCAATGGTTGAAATCCTTCCGTACAATTACAAAAATATGTTCCCGGTAGATTAACGCATGTTGAATATTCTGGACATTTTGCTATCCCTGTTTCACATTCATTAATATCTGAAATATAAAATATATCTATAGTGTCTTGAATTTGACAACTGTTAACTTATAACAATCAATCAATCGCTGATACAGTACTCTTAAATTTTGCAGCTCGTTATTCTTAGTTTGTTGCGCAAATATCAGCTTTACTCCTATGTCGAGAGATTTCTCATCATTCATGTGAAAGTAAAAGTGATTTCATTCTTTACTAATTAATAAGTTAAAGATATGTAGAAATAATGCAACATATTAATAAAGTTTGGTCTAAAATTTTGACACATTTTTATTATGCCTCTCATTTGTTAATATTTCATCGCACTGAAATCTGAGATTTTCTACTACTTTTTTGATTCCTTCCGATAGGCTGTCTTCAAATTATTCTTAATAATGTCAATTTTGAAAGATTCCTTGAAGCCGATATTCATTAGCAAAATATTCATATTCAGACTTTTTCAAATTAAGGAATTCTTTTGCATCATTTGGTTACAGAAAGGGACAACAAATTTTTGAATGAATGAGTCATTACAATGAAATGAAGTATGTTTGAAATTGGTATTGTTTTTTTCTTGGTTGATTTTCGGAGATTTTCTACTCTTACTGGTTGTTTGCTATTTCAAAGGAATCATTTAAACTATTGTTGTTGAAATAACGGCACTAACTTCATTTGCAAAAAATATGTTCTTTAATCTAAATTATTTGATATAATCCAATCTGTTCCCACTATTTACAAAATTGTCAATAACAGGTTGGTGCAAAATTTTTAAACAAAAATCTATCAACAAGAAATTTAAGAAGTTGATAATAAATTTGTTTTCTTTTGATGAAAACGAATATAACAGTGACTACAATCGGACATCACAACCTTTGATGACCTTGTCCTATTAAATTTGAACCCACCGCCTATGAATTTTACACATATAAGCATGTCTCCTATCTGTAACATCAATCATTCATTATTCTTCTCTACTCCATTCGATCATCGAATGCTCCTCTTCCAAATAGTTTAAAATACTATAACTTCTTGAATATTTTATTGAATGAAGCTAATTTCGAAAGATGACAAGACATACTTAATGACTTATCTGATCATTCTAATAAAATTTAATAATATAAACAGAAAAATCGATTGATTAATAATTTGAAATCAAAAACGATAATTGAATTATTTTGGAACAAAATAACTTTTCATTACAAGTTATAGAATTCAATGAAGTTATCTTAATTAGAACTCTTAAAAACAAAAGTAATATATCTAATGAAGCATTAAACAAAATTGATCGATCAAACTAAGCTTTCATTAAATGATTTGAATGACGGAGAAGAGGAAGAGAGAGAAAATCTCAAAAGAATAAACTTCAGATGAATTTAAAATGATGAAATTTGCCGAAATTTATAGAATTAATTAATATTCTAATCTCTTTATTATGATCATTTAATTTAGTTGTGAATTGAGGATATAGTAGTATAAAGGATATTATTATAGTAGTTTTCATCACAAAATTACAATTAAAACAATGATTTAAAGCTAAGAAATAAAAATAATTCCGAGAAAACATATCGGTATGATCTATTTTGATATTAACTTCATTTGCCGGCAGGTAATCAGTAAACTTTTATAACAATTAAAAACAGAATTTGTAAAATTTGTCTTTACCGGAACATTCGTGTCCATCCCCTTGAAATCCCGGGAAACATGTACAAGAATATGAACCATAAGTGTTACGACAATGCGCTAACCAATGACATGGCTTATCCTTACATTCATTATTATCTGAAGACAAAAAGAAGCATAACAAAGTTTAATTAAAATTAAAGGAGAAAAAAAATTTCGAAATTCTTACTAAAGCTTTATTCTAAATGAAATATTTCATTATTAAATTTCTTTACATATTTTTAAAAAGATTTGCAAAACTTATACCATTAAGTTCACAATGTGGGCCATGATAACCAGCATTACAGTAGCATTGTCCCTGAGTTCCATCGAATAGACATGCACCCCGCTGATTGCATGTCGAGTTACAACGGCTACCTGAATGAAACATAAAACATAATATTTTTTTTAATTCAAAAATTTACCATGCGATATTTAGTGGTGTAGTTAAATGAGCTAATAAACAATAATTTATAATAATAAATAAATAATGCTTCTCTTATGAATTTTAAATTCTTTAAATGCCAAATTTAAAAGATTAGTTTGTATATTTTTGAATCTAAAATATAATTCCAATGGATCAATTTTAATCGTAACGTAACTTTAAAAAAAAGAATAAATTGATTAAATGAAAAATTTTTGAAATTTAATATTCAAAATTACTTCCAACGAATTTATATATAACTATCTGATAAAAGATAGCCAATTCAACCGTATTGGAATATTCTTAATATCATTAATTGTTTTTGTTTTTAAGTTGCAATATGAAATATTCACACACAATGCTGTTTTGTTATGCATCAGTAAGGAGGCATCATCCCTATCAATTACTTTCAAATTCGCTTATCTTATCAATTTTATTAATAGGAAAAGTTAGTCGTACTTGAAAGCAATCATATTAAATGAAAACAGAAATGACTGCCAAAAAGATTTATACATTAGTTGGATATTTGAAAAGAATTATTAAGCATTTTATTTAGCTGATTGTTAATTTAAGCAATTCCAAAGAGCTGACTATGTCATTAATTGAGCTTAAGCTAATGAATTAAGCTAAAGAATAAATTAATTAAGTTAAACAATAAAAGAATAAATTAATTAGGCCAAAGAATAAATTCATTATTTCTCTGATTTGTTAACAATTAATGATTGATAAATTGAATGATTAAAAGTTTTGACTAAACGTTTTTCCCTACTATAAATGATTATCTTAAATGCATAAATTCAAAACTTCTAAATCTATCAATAAATTGTTTAATTTAATCGAACAACAGAATCAATAGGAAAGATTTCAAATTTCAATTCAAAAGTTGCATATGTAAGCACAATACGAACTAATTGATTAATTGTCAGAGGAGACGATCATTTTGCTATTTCAATTTTCGCAATCCTATTATATCATAAAATGTTTTCCATTCATTTTAAATGGAATAATTTCCATATACGATATTGTCGAGTTTTTTCGTCCTTTTCATTTTTCAATGAAGAAAATTACCTCAATCGTTTACAGATAAGATGAAATACAATTATAACAAAAGAATTCCGATTCGCTGACTCTTCAGAAAGCGCATTTATGGCATTTATCGCATAAAAGGTAAGGTAAGAGATGGGGCGGCATTTTATCGTAACTGTTACCAACTCATTTCATCCAAGAAGAAAAGCCAAAATGGGAGTTCATTGGCATCAAATATATAAATGCTACACTGTTATGTGCAGTTAAAACACTAAAGGATTTCGTGAAAATAGCATTAACGAATTAAATTGTTTGAATGAATACATTCTTTGGTAAAAGGAAAGAAATAAAAAATGAATTAATTAATTAATTGATTGATTTTAAAAACAAAAAAATTTGTAACTTAGTAGAAAATTTCAAAAATTTATTGAAAAAAATGGCAATTTATATAAGTTAATTTAATATTACTCAAATTGGAAATTGAAAATATTTTAAGTTAGCAAAACTTAATTTTTTTTTAAACATAAGTTTTTCTTTGAGTTGAAAATCAATATTTAAATTTGAAATATTATTTGAACTATTTCAAATTCAATTTTTATTCGATAATTTCTTGTTGTGTAAGAGGGAAAAATGATTTTAACAGTGTTACGATAACTTAACCAACATATTCTTCTTCGTTTTTTAAAACCAATTTAAGAACACGATGACCTCTTTGATGACCCCTTCAACAATTTCCAATCATTTAGAAAAATTTTAAGTAAAAATATTTTGATTAAATAAACCGTTTTAAATTTAATTCTTTCATAATTTCCCATTCCTTTTATTATATAAAATTATAAAAAAGTACCGCAATATGGAAAACTTTCATCATGCATTGCTGGATTACTGTAACAATCTGGCTTGCCATCACATATAATCGAGATTTGATGCAAATGTAAATCATCTGGATGAGATGAATGTTGACAAATGACGATACCGGTATCAAAGTTAACAACAAATGTTGGCCGCATATCGGGCATCGATGAGTTTACAAAACTTTTCGTGATTGCATTGCTAGGATGCAACAATATGCCATAAAATGTCATCCATAACAGTAATAATCGGTGCATTTTATCACTATTAAATCGTTTGTCCTTCTATCAATTCTTGAAACTTTTCCTTTCTCTTGATCCCTGAAGATATATTTTAAAATTTAAAAATACTCTAAATGATCTATTTTAAAATGAATTCGAATTTCCATAAAGTTAAACATTCTACTGGAAGCTAAAGAAATACAATAAATTATATTGAAAGGAGCCTGATTAAGTGTGCCTTTAACTATCACTTGTTAGCATTTCATCTTTATACACTTGTAATTGTAAATCTAAAGTATATATTTCCATTGATTGTAATTAGAGGAGAAATCAGAAAATATAAAGTTAAAGGTAACACAAGCGGAGCATAATCATTACATGATTGTCATTATATCCAACTCATACAAAATTAATAGCACAAGTAGGCATATTAAGAAGTACTGATGGCAATAAACAGATATCTCTGAAAGTTGGCATTAATTTTAAATTAGTGACAGATAATACATAATCACAGAAGGCTTAATGAAGTCTTAAATGTTTTGTATGTTTGGTACAAAAATAAAGAAATACAAGCTCTGATGGTTATGAGAATTCATTCAACTAACCGATCATATTTCTCAATAACTTTAATGATTTGTAAAAGGTAAAATTAAGGAAACAGATTTTTAGAAGCAATGATTTTGAAATTTGATACAGATGTATAGAGGTGTCTTTCAAATAACCCAAATTTGAAGTGGGTAGGTTATAAACATTTGTACTACCGTAAATTCATACAGACTGATACATACAACGAACTACTCATACAATCTCATTTTCTTACTTTCCAGTTGAAATAGTCAAATGGTAATCATAAAAGTCTTTAACATGATAGGACAACAGTAACTATTACTGTTATCCTATTATTCAAGTTTGACTTATAAAATGATTAAGTTAAATATTATTTATCTCACCTTAACTCTTACAAATTACATTGAGAGTTACTGACCAAAAGATTGAACATTTATTAAATTAATTATAGAATCTAATCGTATGTTGTGAAAGACAACGAATAATTGAAGTAGAAATGGCCTCAAAGTAAAATGATAACAGGGGTCAGTTGAAAATTCAGGAAAAAAAAGGCATTGAACTTTAATTTGAGCAATTTATCTCTTAAAAACAAATCGACCATCAAAGAAAACGGCACACATTTTAACAATTAACAATAGTAAAGTATTATTTAGAGCTTCAAAATAAAGAACGATTATGCATAGGATAGAAAGCTAAAAGTAAAATTATTTCAATTTCAATTCTTTCATTTCTGTTTTGTTTGGTTCCAGGTGGTACTAAGAAGGAGGGGTTTCATCGATAGAGATCGAAAATGAAAGAATGGAAGAATTGGTATTGGTGACAAAAGTTGCTGATGAAATGAAAAAGGATCAATGTCAACTCCTTTTGATGATATCGATGATATACAACAAAAAAAGAAATTAATGCAAACAAAAATTTTCCTTTTTTTTTAGGCTGGAAATAAAATTTGTTAGTTTTATATTGTCCAGTTTTGGTTCACTTTTCAACTCACTGAGGTCAATGGAAAAATGTAAAAAGAAGTACAGGTAAATATTCATGTTTAATTTGAATTTTTATTAGAAAACTTTTACATCAGCAAATTGATTGTAATAATTGCTGTCATTAATCTGCAACGATTTACTTTTAAAGCTAACTTTCATTACTTTCATTATTATTACCTAATGAATATTAAAGTTACCGTTTCAGGTATTTCTTTTTTAATATATTAGTTGACATTTCTACAGGTGAATTAAAGTAAAAAGTTTGTCACGAAGAAATAGATCTAACTTGCAAACATTATTACAATGATAATATCTTGTCTAAATTATTATTCTTTTTCCTTAATTTTAGTATGAAAAAGAATTTATTTAAAAATTAGATTTATTTCTTCGTGACAGTCATTGAATTATATGAGCGATACGATTTAAGTTAATTATGTTTCACTTCCATTTGTTTATTTAAATACAATTGCACATTTCGCGTAAGGAATAATTGTTGAAGATGTAGTTCAAATATTTTTTGTTGCTTCAATTATAATGGGTTAATATTATGAATTGAAGAATGGAAGAGGTAGTTCTATGCTCACTTTTATTATCCGCCATTTTTGACGCAATAAAATTTTACACTCCACTCAATTTGTATTTCTATTGAATGGGAAGGAAGATAAATTGATTTGGAATTAAGTATAAAGATTTTATCAAATTTTCATCTTTGTAAAAAAAGCGTGATTGATAATTAGCAATTCTTGATTGTTCTATCTTCTACTTTCTGCCTTCTGCTTTCTGCTGAAGAATCTTAGATTAGGGAAGAGGAAGGAATCAGTATTCATTAGTATCACAAGAATTTGAGCTTTAAATGTTGACATCTCTATCAGCAGTTATTTATGTGATGAACTTAGGAAAAACTTATCATAGCAATCTATATTTAAAACTTTTTCCATAAATAATAATAATTTGAAACACTTTTTCCTAATTAATTTAAAATACATTTGATTGAAAAAGAAATTCTACAAAATGTGTTTAACGCTAAGTGCGAAGATAATTAGATAATTTTATTTGCATTAAATTCAATATTCACTGTCTCGAAATTATCATCCATAATTAATCGTCTAAATTAATTGTCTTTAAATTATTTGGATAAATTATGCGAAAATTATCAATTTTAGTAATTGACAGATAGATGAATAATATCTTACTAAAAAAAATTGACAAACTAATTAAAAAATTATAAATGACATTATTTTCAACGAAATTTTATAAAATGATAAATTGGTCGGTTCTAACCGAAATTGGCTTACTCTAAGTGATTTTAAAAGTAAATGGATGCAGAGGATCTAATAATCCATGCCAATCGCAACTAGGCTTATTAAAAATGATAACGATGATAAGATGATAATGTATAAAATGCGATAGAAAAGGCAGAATAGATGAATATGGGATCATAAATCAAAGAGATCAACAAATAGCACAAAACGATTTTGCCGAAGTGAAATTGGGGTCAGTAAGCATTATCGGCTACTATTGCATCATTTAATTTCATTTAGAAAATTAATTTTTAATTTTAATTTAACTAAATATTTTATCTTTTGCAATAAATCAATAGAATAATTTTTATGTAAAATAAGCTGGAAGTATGCAAAGATAAATTATAATGAAATAAATGAAAAAGCATCTTTTGCTAAAGTTCTATTCTTTAAGATTTAAAAATAATATCAAGCTATTTCCAATGAATTGTAGTAAGCAGTTTAATATGATTGTAATAGGCATTGATATCATTGAATAACTGTAAGCTATCTCCTATTGTTTTTGAATTTAAATTAATGACGAAAAATAAGAGCAGATATGACTTTTAAATAAAATGAATCAAAAATAGATAGCCATATTAACTATTGAACACTTTGAATATTGAACACTTTGCCATAAAGGTCGATTGAATGGAATTTAAAAAGTATGAAACATGTTATCATATCCGCATTTCTTTGGAATAGATGTCATCTGTCATATGCATTTCTTAAACTTTCTGGGTCATCACCATTACAAAAATCAAAAATTGCTATTCTCAAAGCTTCCGGTTAAAAAAAATAAAATAAATTAAATTAGATATGAAAAAAAAGTAGTGAGACTGATGTTGGTAGCTTCAATAATTGCTACCACCTTTTCAAGGTGATGTGCAAAGAAAAAATTTTGAAAAAGAAAAATAGTGAAATAACTTGAAGAAAAAAGGAAAAAGAATTTCGGTACAATTCAAAAAAAAGGAAGGCAGGAAAAGGTGATGAAGGAATAAAATGTACAACGAGGTTGGTGACAGTTTCTCAGTAAAAAAAATATTATGGTTCACCTTCACCTAATTCACTTCCACCTTTCTTTTTTTCAATTTTAACACATAAATTGAAATAAAAATCACAAAACGTAATTAATGAGCAATGTTAATTTTAAACCAATTTTATGATAAGATAATGATAAGACTAAAAGAGAATGAGTCCTTGTGGATAAGATCTTTTTCATTTCCCTTTTTTTCTGTATGTTAAATTTTTCAAAAGGACAAATAATTCTTTAAATTGATAAATAGTGATAAGATAAGAAAAATATTGAAAAGATTTATTGGAACAAACTTCTAAAATACTTTCATTATTTCATGCGTCTTTTTGATCAATGATAAAGATTGAGATGATAGAATGCTAAAGAAATACAAACATACGAATGCATAATGATTTTAATAATAATGATAATAAATTTTCTAAATTGAAAAACAAAAATGAATATAATCTATTGTCTTTATACTGAAATAATTTGGCCAATAGTAAATGTGTTGATAACTTGGCCAGTAATAATGTCCCCAAACTCTTTTAAGGTTTGAAATTGGATAATATAAGCAATTGTCCATTTCTTTTTTTGAATATTTCATTAAAGACTTTAATATTTAATCATATCAAAAAATAAATAAATTGTTTGTTGAGGACAAATAATACTTCGTTTATTTGCCAAAAAAGAAATTGGAAGTAAGGTTTTGGTTGAAAGGCTATCTCATTTAATTTCTTAATGACCTTGAAATTTCTTCGAACTGACAAAAAGATGTCGCCAGAATTCAGAATTCTCGAGAGTAATATTTAAAAATTATTTTACGTTAAATAATTTTATATATAGAGACATTGAAATTGTATGTTAAATTAAATTCTAAATAGGATTTAAAACAATAAAAAGTATGAACTGTTATTTCAGTCATAAAATTTCAACTGTTGTTTCAGTCATAAAATTTTATTTCTTAAATCTAATTTTATCATAAAATTTTATTTCTTAAATATTCTTTATCTTTTTAAATACTTTCATAAATAAGAAGCAAAAAAGTTTAAAAACAAAAATGGTACCAACATTTTTGAAATCACAAATTGCAATTAGTGATAGTAAAAGCTCTTTTATTATTTATAAAATTATTATCCGACATTTAGATGGCACAAAAATTGCGAACACTGATTAACATCATTTTATTATTCT